CCACCAGTAAAGCTGGAACGTCGCGATATGACCTATACTGTGTCGATGTGACGTAAAACCCAAAACAAACAAACAGACAAAACGTAAGTAATATGTTAAAATCTAAGGTGACAATTAGTGATGGGCCGATTAGCTGGTATAATCGATTTTCTACTAGAAAAGCCCAACCGATTCCGATAATCGATTGTGTTTTCTCGGGGTAGATTATCGGATAGTGGGTACAAATACAGTATAGTCGAATCTTTTGAAATTTCCAGTCCCAGTACTTTTAGTTAGACTTCAGTATTATATTTTGGAACTCAAGAGCTTTAATAATATATTCTCCCCACTTATGTCCACAAGTTTAAAGTACCCGAAATATCAGATGATTAATGCTTAACAGTTAAAACTGAAGTATGCAAGCCAACGAAGCATTAGTATTTCATTGCAATTATCAAAATTATGAAAATTGACTAAACAGCATACAATTAGGCACAACTGTCAATATGGCGGCGCCCATAGCGTCAAACAATAAGTTCCTAAGAATAAGCAAAACTTTGATAGATTTTCATATTTTGTAACGGTATGTCCTATTGAATCTATCTGTCGACAAGGGACAACAAGAGCACCGCTAGGCGGAGCATTATATGCCCGAAAGTGATTTTTTTTTAGTAAAGATGAAGCATTTGTAAGACATGGGAATTAAATAAAGTATTACTTCCTTCAAATAACAATCCTCCTTTGAAGTTTCAATATTGTGGTCCAAATGGAACTTAAGTTATGCCCCAGAAACTGTTTTCAATTCTAAGGTAATAGTGACCTTGACCATTGACCTTGTGACCCCAAAATCATTGGGGGTCTTCTACCCAATATGAACAATCATACTATGAAGTTTAAACACAGTAGGCCAAATGATACTTAAGTGATGTTCCGAAAACTGTTTGCACTTTTAAGGTAATAGTGACCTTGACCTTGTGACCCAAAAATCAATAGGGGTCTTCTACCTAATATGGACAATCATCGTATGAAGTTTGAATATTGTGGGCAAAATGGAACTTAAGTTATGCTCAAGAAACTGTTTTCAATTTCAAAGAAATAGTGACCTTGACCTATGACCTTGTGACCCCAAAATCAATAGGAGTCTTCTTCCCAATATGAACAATCATCCTATGAAGTTTGAACACTGTGGGCCAAATGGAACTTAAGTTATGGTCCGGAAACTGTTTTCAGTTCTAAGTTAATAGTGACCTTTACCTTTGACCTAGTGACCCCAAAATCAATAGGGGTCTTCTACCCAATATGGACTATCATCCTATGAAGTTTGAACACTGTGGGCCAAATGGAACTTAAGTTATGCTCTGGAAACTGTTTTCAGTTTTAAGGTCATAGTGACCTTGACCTTGTGACCCCAAAATCAATAGGGGTCTTCTACCCAATATGGACAATCATCCTATGAAGTTTGAATATTTTGGGCAAAATGGAACTTAAGTTATGCTCCGGAAACCAAATTGCTAACGGACAGACGGACGGACGGACGGACGGACGGACGCCAGGGGGTATAACATAATATGTCCGAAATTCTTTCGGGCATATAAAAATGCTGGGACATTTCCGTATCCATTATGCAATATAAGTTGAAAGAACTTTATTTTATATGTAACTTGATTATTTTAGAGACACATTCAATGTGCATGTAAAAGTGTAAAACAGTTTTTTATGTGAATAAATTAATGCTGTTCTTTGCTAATTGTCTAGAAAACAAATAAATATAAATAAGATGTTAACTGTCTTGTTGTTTTGTTTTTAAACAAATTGTTAGGATTGTAAAGAGAAGTCAATTCTCTCAAATGCCAGCTATGTATACAATTTGTAATTAATTGTGGTGTCCAAGCTTTCCTTGTTTGCAACTCATTAGTGATTACTAAACAAATTCCTGTTAACCTGAAACCACCTGAATAGCGTATAGGTTTGAGTTCTTAACTCTTTCAAAAGATCATTATAATTTTTATTAAAACAGTCACTTTTAAATTATCTGAAGAAACATATTGAATAACATTTAACCGATCATTTTCCCGATATATCGCATTGGTTTACTAACCGATTCTAACTGATATCAGTTGCAGTTCTGCCACCGATATCCATCACTAGTGACAATTAATGGAAAAAACACATTGTGGGAAAAATGAACTGAAAGGAAAATAGAGAGGACGAAAAGAAGTTCTGTTTGCAGTTAGTGGTAGATTATCATATGCAAGTTTGACTTCGGTCGAGTATCTTTTTTAAAGATACTTCCTGTTAACTATGCAGCACTGACAATAGTCGAGCGCATGGTCCTACAGCCAGCTCGTGATGAATATTTTTGTTTATAGTCAAGTCAAGTCAATTTGTTTGTTTAAGTCTCACTTTTGTACATACATTAACAAATATTACAAAGTTATAAAAGAAATAAGTAAAGAGAGTTATGAGAGACTAAGAACATGATCATAAATAAAAACCCATTTATATTTTAATATATACAATTATATATTTGCGTGCAAAAATCTCAGTAATGATAATGTAGCTACTGCTTCTTTCAAGAGCTCACAAGTTTTGCTTCTGGGAATGCATTTATTGGAATATTTCTATGTTCCACACCAAATAAGTCAAAAATTATTATTATTTATGCCATTGATACTCACTTAACATTTATAATATGCTTGTACAACTTTAGAAGTGTAACTTTTTCAATGCTGGTACACTACAACAGAAATGACCATTTAATATGCATGTCTCAAGATAAGCAGAGAAATGTTTAAATTCCAAATGAGATAACAGTTCATCTATATGTTAACAAAACATAAATATTGTTCCACATATACGAACCCATATATAGTTTGACATAATTCAGTATTTCTATCGCTTGATTAAAAGAGAATCGGGGTATTATATGTGTTTGGATCAATTTCTAAGATACACTTTTGCTTAATTTGTATAGTTTTACAATAATTATTTAGAACATTCTTTATTTTTCATACATTTAACCATATCTGGAGGCGAGACAACAAAAATCCTACAAGTAAGATCTGCAGGTCATAAGTTATTAGCATTGTTTTTACCATGTCCGTTTACTTATGATCCAACATTATTCGTAAAACTGATTACATAATACACTATTAAAATGTACTCGACCGTGCGAATGTGTATGGCTATGTCATGGAGACCGCCACAAATGCCAACGTTCGTTAATACCACATATATATTCTAAAATCTACTTAAGATCGTTGTCGCCTTCATTAAGACGTCGATTCCGTGGTTGTCTGATGTCCAGTCCTGTGGACATTCTTCATCCAGTTGGGACAGACACTCTTCACTTAAATTCAAATTAGGAAACCTAACTAACGGTCTGCTCATGTGGTACTCATCTGGGCTATCAACCTCGCTGTCTGAGTCATTTATTTGTCTAATACCAATGTCAAGCGCTGGCTCAGCAGGGGGATTGTTCAGCATCCCAGCAGTGAAGAGTTTGAGTGGTGATGACTTTACCGTTCTAATTCTATGGCTATTCCATGTAGACCTCCACAAATGCAAACGTTTGTTAATACTGCTTAAATAGACGTGATGTAATGCATACAAATGTTTCTCATTCAGTACATCAAGCAAATTCTCGTCTTCCAGAAAATAAAACAGGTCATAGTAGTAACTGAGGACTCCATCGAAGACGTCTCTCCATAATCGTTCAATTCTTTGATTATGGGTGCTTTTTCCGGTCAACATTGAGTTTGTTCCCCGAACATTATTCATATACTCCATCACTTTAGAGTTCTCCATGCCCATATCTGATCTCACACGTAACGGGGTGCCATATTCTTGAACACCGCTGGTGAAGCAATCTAATATAGTTGTGGCTTTGTTGTTTTCCGTACATACCAAAAAAGTTATAAAACGACTGAAACCATCGACACCACCGCAAATTATAAAGTTCCACCGGATCAATTTATGGTTTGTGTCAATGTGCCACAGTTCATTTGGACCTTGCACACAATAAACACGCCGTTTAAGTCGCTTCCTCTTCCGTTCTTGTACACCATCACTATCCAATCGTTTTAGAGCATCTCTGACACGAAATCTTTGTATCTGTGATTAAAAAAACAACAACATTGTATCACCATATTACAGCATTTATAGACATGATACATTTTGAAAGGCTGGTGGATAATTTACAAATGTATTGATCAACAAACATAAAGGACAGTTAATCTTACAGCATGATAAAGTTTCGTGACAAATGCCAATGAAACACAACAGGCATTTTTATCGGTTGATTGCAAAATATAACTGAATGTTAGGTTTTAAAACAAGCATTAAATTTTGTTATACTATTGTGTATTTCCTTAATACGTCTATATAATCTTTAAGTACTATAAAATCCGAACATTTGATTTATACCAAAGCTAGCTGTTTCATGTGCAGACCTTAACGACATCGTTCCAATGTTTTTGTCAGTGTTGTTTATGACCCCTTTTCCTATAATACTCGTACCATTCTATTTTTAAGGCTTTCCATTTTGTGCACTTACTTTACTTGGCCAAAATTTCAATATACATGAGGTGTGGCGTTGTTATACACACGCTCTTAGAAAAGGAATTTAGAATTAAATATTATTGCATAGTACATGTATATCTGCATACCTTAATACCCTTTTCACCTAGCAGATTCCTCAACATCATTTCTCCACACCTTGGAAATTCTTCTAGGATCTTTGCCATGACCACATCCAGCTGATGATCTTCAATACTGGTGAAAGCATATTTTGAAATTCCGTGTCGTCGCATATTTCGATAAATTGTGCTTTCCGATACACCAAGAAGTTGGCTGATGTTAACAATTGAAAATCCAGATTCTAGAAGACTTTCAATAGTTATTTTTGGTATCTTAAAACCACGCTGCACTGGTTTGTTGATATGTCTTCCGAAAGTTACACATTCCACTCGCAGTTTCATGATCTCATATCTTTCTGTTACACCCAAACATTTAAAGTCATAAAGTGAAAGTAACGGCACAATATCTGGAGTAATCTTCTGCTCCCTAAATAGCCTTATTTGGTAGGTTCCAAACCCACATTTAACTAAAATTTCTTCCATTGTCTGTTGGAAAATAACGTTTTTTCGTCTACGAAATTGAAAACATGTGTAGATGTTTCCCTATAATACATGTATATTCATAGGTTCACATTGTTTAAAGAAAAATGGACATCATATAAAGACTCATTTACATAATATATCGATTATTTGACTCTATATAAGGATGGTTTTATATAATATAATGATGCAACCACATAATATATTCATAAATGCACATCGTATAATAACAGATGCACATCGTATAATGAAAGATTGACATAATATGTTGATAAGTTGACTGTATATAATGATGCAACCACATAATATATTGATAAATGCACATCGTATAATAATAGATGCACATCGTATAATAATAGATGCATATCTTATAATAACAGATGCACATCGTATAATGAAAGATGGACATGATATATTGATAAGTTGACTGTATATAATGATGCAACCACATCATATATTCATAATTGCACATCGTATAATAATAGATGCACGTCGTATAATAATAGATGCACATCGTATAATAATAGATGCACCTCGTATAATAATAGATGCACATCGTATAATAACAGATGCACATCGTATAATAACAAATGCACATCGTATAATGAAAGATTGACATAATATATTGATAGGTTGACTGTATATAATGTTGCAACCACATAACATATTCATAAATGTACATCGTATAATAACAGATGCACATCGTATAATGAAAGATTGACATAATATATTGATAAGTTGACTGTATATAATGATGCAACCACATAATATATTGATAAATGCATATCGTATAATAATAAAAGCACGTCGTATAATAATAGATGCACATCGTATAATAAAAGATTGACATAATATATTGATAAGTTGACTGTATATAATGATGCAACCACATAATATATTCATAAATGCACATCGTATAATAATAAATGCACGTCGTATAATAATAGATGCACATCGTATAATAATAGATGCACATCGTATAATGAAAGATTGACATAATATATTGATAAGTTGACTGTATATAATGATACAACCACATAATATATTCATAAATGCACATCGTATAATAATAAAAGCACGTCGTATAATAATAGATGCACATCGTATAATAACAGATGCACATCGTATAATGAAAGATTGACATAATATATTGATAAGTTGACTGTATATAATGATGCAACCACATAATATATTCATAAATGCACATCGTATAATAATAAAAGCACGTCGTATAATAATAGATGCACATCGTATAATAACAAATGCACACCATATAATGATGTTTGCACTTCATATAAAGCAGCGGTCGTATAACAATAGATGCACATCGTATAATGAAAGATTGACATAATATATTGATAAGTTGACTGTATATAATGATGCAACCACATAATATATTCATAAATGCACATCGTATAATAATAGATGCACATCGTATAATGAAAGATGGACATAATATATTGATAAGTTGACTGTATATAATGATGCAACCACATCATATATTCATAATTGCACATCGTATAATGATTGTTCGACATCATATAAGGACACATTGACATCATATATTGTTGAGTTGACTTCATATAAGGATGCATCTACATAATATATTCATGAGTGCACATCGTATAAAGAAAGAGTGACACAACAACGTTCATTTTTACAATCATAAGACAGTCAAGGCTTTCCATAGATAGGCATATTAGATTTCCAACTCTGTTCTAGATTTTTATCGACCGATGATTAAATGTGGGGAAGAACTCATTTGATTAACTCTGCACATGATTTTCTGTATATCGTGCAACATTTCGGCCATTTCCGTCATACTCCGGAAAGGTATGATCAATAGTCAATGCAAACAGCACAATACAAACTTGTTCTTCAGAATAAAGCATAAATGTTTCTAGGCAATTTACTGCCACTCTTTTCATTTCGTTTTTTTTAAAATAAACTTTGAAGCGGACGCAGAGCTTCAAGGTATGGAATTCCGCCTGGCTGCAATATGCCAATCAAAATAAAATCACCATTTGAGCCGTGTCATGACAAAACCAACATAGTGCGTTTGCGACCAGCATGGATCCAGACCAGCCTGCGCCTCCGCGCAGTCTGATCAGGATCCATGCTGTTCGCTTACAAACCCTATTACATGTAGAGAAACTGATAGCGAACAGCATGGATCCTGATCAGACTGCGCGGATGCGCAGGCTGGTCTGGATCCATGCTGGTCGCAAACGCACTATGTTGGTTTTGTCATGACACGGCTCATTTGTTTTTTCGGAATCGTGCTTCACTCATTGCACAAAAAAGCAAACATTAATTAACAATTTTTTCTAACGGCCTCCAGTGTGAGTTTCATCATTGGCAAAGCAGATTAAAAAACAAATCCTATCGTGACATTTAAAGGCTACAGTCATGTTAATAGGTGCAAAGTGTATAAATTTGTTTTCTTTAAAGGTCCATTAAGCCTCAAAAATGATATAAATTTTATTTCTTTAAAACTTTTTTATGTTTTGTGTCCTATTTCAATGTCTAAAAAGTACTTATTTGCGATATAGGTGAACTAACCTTTTATTTTTTGCCCTTTTTAAATTAATACGGTTATACGGCTTTGTATGTTTTGTATCTAGAATATGCACGCGTTATGTTTTGTATCTATCGTGTGCACGTGTTATGTTTGTATATATAATTTGCACGTGCTTGTATGTTTTGTATCTAGAATATGCACGTGTTATGTTTTGTATTTAGCATAAGGCAAGTTTTATGTTTTGTATCTAGAATATACAAGCTTGTGTTATGTTTTGTATCTAGAATATGCACGAGCTTTATAATTATGTCGTGTTCCTATAATAAGCACGAGCTATTTATGTTTTTAATCTAGAATATGCACGTGTTGGTATGTTTTGTATTTCGAATGTGTGCCAACTTTGTATGTTGTGTATCTAGAATTTGCACGTGTTTTGTAAGTTGTGTATCTTGAATGTGCACGTGCTTTGTATGTTGTGTATTTAGAATATACACGTGTTTTTAATGTTGTGTTTCTAGAATATGCACATAATCTTATGTGTTGTTATGGGAAGTTTATGATATCTCAAAAATGCGACTTTTTTTAAGGAAGGAAATAAGATAAACAAACCGATCGTGCGTAACGATTTCCTTATTCCCTGCGGTCTGGAGACCGCAGGGTATTGGTACGCGTTTAACTTTTGAGGCATGGAGGAGCACGTGACCTGTTTTCGGTACATGGAGGAGCACGTGATCTGTAAACCGTATATGATTGGTTAATTGACCTTTTCGAAAACCCAGCTAAATACCGTTTGCCGGTACGTTACGTGATATTTCTAATTTTAAATAGAGATATTTTCTGCGTAAACTTGTGTGTTTACTTTATTTATTTTTTGCTCGGAATTATTCATAAAATGGGAAGCCTATTTAATCATTTTCTTAAAAAGAAATAATTGTTTTATGTTCGACCTTCTCCGGTTTTCAACGGTCACCAGTTTCCAAAGACCTTATTCTATATTGATCGATTATTGTCAACTATATTCCTGATACAACCCCCCCCCCCCCAAATAATGTTGAAAATAGTTAAATGAAATATCTTTATATCATTAAAATGTTCACCGCAGGAAACCATTTTACTTGTTTCAGTTGTTTTGATAAGCTAAAGAACACCCCAGCCATTTTATGTGTACATGTATATACATCTACACAATAAACATTTATCTTACTCGCGAACATGACTGTTATTAATTAATAAATTGATCAATATTGCGATATGTTTTTAATATAGACTATCTTTACTACAATATATACAGGTATATATGTCAATAAATGATAATGAAAAGGAAATATCAACTAGATTTTCCATTTAATGAGTGTGATACATCAACATTTTCAGGCATTGTTAGGTGGAGTGAGACCAAATGCTGATTATAATCATAAAATCAAAAAGAAATTGGCGCAATATTGATGCAATAGTAGGCTATTTTATACACGTATACTTTCATATTTATAATTACATGGCATAATGCATGTAAATAAATCCTACCTTAATTAAGCATAGTTTATTATGCAAAATCTTCAAAGGAAAAACGGTACCATAGTCTAATTGCAAGATAAAACAATATGTGGTGAATGCCCAGGAACATTTACATTCTCAGTTTTCTTCAGATATATGTATCCTGTTTTTTTAAGTTAGATGCGTGGTGGTCGTGCCATAATACAATTTAATTTAGAACATCTTTTTAACAACATAACCTGTTGTATATCATATAATATTATGGTTTTTATTTTCGTTTTTTGCTTTTTTTTTCAAAATAGATAATATCAAATATAAAGAAAGTTTTTTTTGTTTTTGTTTTTTTTTAAAGTTAACTAATTTTAACAGTCGATGTTTTATATATAAGTACATGTACATCAACTTACCTAACATGAGCATTTTAACTTCCCTGGCTGCCCGCTCTCTGTCAATTTTCAGCTGTTTTTCTATTTCTTGTGTTCTTTTTCTCGCTTCTTTATCCACGACAGTCCCGCTGGATACGCACCCCATGTTCTGCCACGAATTTTTTTACTCCGTTGTACGTTGCGAGAGTTTTCTTATTCTCCTATGGATAAACTTTGTCACAACTTGTATTTCTCTTGACTAAACCTGGCAAAAATTAAATCATATAGGTAGACGGAAGCTGTTCATAACACAGTTATCATTTTCAGATACCAGTTGACCACGTGATCTATAATATTGTACAGTTTTATCAATAAATTTAAACCCCTATTCACGTTAAAATTTCCGGTTATTTGTATATGAATGTGACACCTTTACATAGTCAATAAAAAAATAATTAAATCCAGAAGTGTTATTATACTCTTAGAATAGAAACAATTTTAATCTATTTTCAAAACGTAAATGTCAAAAATATCTACATATGGATTGATTCCTGCATGTTCACGCAGGAACTTATTTCAGATACAGCAAACGATCTTCTGAACATCATCATGTACACTTGTCGTCTGCTTCAATCACAGAACTAATCATGATAATTTGATGGATATCAAACCTGTGATTGCAATCAATTTTAATACTACATGTATTACTAAGTGGTGTTCACAACCAGTATAGCATCGATCGCCGAGGAAGTACTACTTTCAAGGTACATTGTAAAGTCTGGAAACTGCTTTGAATTCGGTTTCTTTTCACTGAAATTTGAGACAAAAGAAGTTGTATTGATAAATCTATTTTTACATACTTATAGTCGTGTACAAGTAAAGATTGAAAGAAATATTGAATTCAAAATGGCAAATTTATTAACGCTTTTATTCCTTACAATAATTTTTTTATAAGGTATTGAATAAATCTAGGGAAGCTTGAAGATCCTTTATGTTGTAATTAAGGTTGTTACCACACATCTTCATTTGAGCGTTATATTTATGATATAATAACCATTAAAATTGAGTTACAGGATCTTTAATTCATTTATTTCAAGTTAGTTCTAGTGCGGTTTCCTTTATTTATTTATTTATTCATTCATTCATTCATTCATTCATTCATTCATTCATTCATTCATTCATTCATTCATTCATTCATTCATTCATTCATTCATTCATTCATTCATTCATTCATTCATTCATTCATTCATTCATTCATTCATTCATTAGGACGTACCATCAATTTTGGTGTTATAGACGACGATCTTTTCACGAATACTCTGAGTTATTCAAGACGGTCTCTGACTATTTGTTAAAAGGTATTGGTAAAACTGTACATTTAATTGCCTATAATATATGCTAACATTTGTTCAGTCTTTAACCCCTTAACCTGCTGTGGAACCGAACGTTATTATTTAAGCCTTTGCCACCAATAAATACAACAAAGCCAGCCTGCAAATTCTTGTATTCTTACCAGGCTCTTACAAATTTTGATCCTAAGATCCCTAAAATTGATAATGAACAGTTCCAAAAATGGAAGTTGGACAAATCCATTTAAGATTTTCAGCAAGATAATGATTAAATTGGCAACTGTATATAATCAATTATAACCTTTCAGGGATAAATTATTTTTTTACCCTGTGACATATTACGGTTGCAAAGTATACATGTTTGCACGCAACCATGGCAACATGACCGCTTATATTATACATACATGTATTAATCAACAAATTCTCTGTTGGATGTAGTCTAATCTATTAACACGTAGACTTGCTGGCGGAAACTGCATGATTATACGCATGCTATCAGTGCAGACCGCACTGTTAGTTATATAGTTAGTACTTATTTTAAAATATTCCCTAAAAAGGTGCATGGTTTTGTCTGGGTTTAGACAGGGTTAATTCAAAGTTCTATCATGATATAGAAAATTAGAAATGTCTTTCAACATGAATTAGCCAATATCGAGATTGCCTCATGGATAACTACTGGCATACTAATTTGAGGAAGCAAGGTCGTGATTGGACGGAGAGGAAGACACGTTAGTCTGTCATCTACCAATCTATTTTTTTAATATGATTCAAAACTGAGGAACGCGTTTTTTCCCTGCTCTTGTTGCATATTCATCATTGATTAATTCTTCATGGCATTTATAAGTTTGAAGGAACAGTTAATCAAACATGGTGACTGAGAGTAGCAAACGTTAGCAAAATAATAATTATTCAGACCTTCTCACTGTGCATTACTCACAATGAACGTTTCAACATCTTGAAAAGGTGTTTTCTTTACACTACCCCCTGCACATATATTACTCACTGAACCCTTCTTACAACGCAATCTGATTAAAATCAGCTTTAAATAACGCTACTATTTACATGTAAGAAATAAGTAGATCTAAACTTAAGTCAGATTGCTTACACCGAGAACAGTTTTCACTCGGCACTATTCCTAGTACATTTCTTGATCGCTGATCAATACTCATATCGTGCATATTACACACTGGATACTTCTCGCTTCAGAAAAATTTCTCACTGAGCACTACATACATACAACTTACATAATGATCACTACTCACTTAAGAAACATAACTGACGGAGCACAATTTACATTGTGAGCTCTATTAATGTCAGATACATTATAAACTGAACACAACTCGCATTGTGAGCACTATTAATGTCAGATACATTACTTACTGAACACAACTCGAATTGTGAGCACTGTAAATGCCAGATACATTACTTACTGAACACAACTCACATTATGAGCACTAATAATGTCAGATACATTACATACTGAACACAACTCACATTATGTACACTATTAATGTCAGATACATTACTAACTGAACACAACTCACATTGTGAGCGCTGTTACTGTCAGATACACCACTAAATAAACACAACTCACATTATGAACACTATAAATGTCAGATACATTACTTACTGAACACAACTTACATTGTGAGCACTATTGATGTCAGATACACCACTTACTGAACACAACTCACATTATGAGCACTATTAATGTCAGATACATTACTAACTGAACACAACTCACATTGTGAGCGCTGTTACTGTCAGATACACCACTAAATAAACACAACTCACATTATGAACACTTTTAATGTCAGATACATTACTTACTGAACACAACTCACATTGTGAGCACTATTGATGTCAGATACACCACTAAAGTTACTGAACACAACTCACATTATGAGCACTATTAATGTCAGATACATTACTTACTGAATACAACTCACATTAAGAGCACTATAAATGTCAAATACACTTCTTACAGAACACAACTGACATTGTGAGCACTATGAATGTCATATACACTACTTTCTGAACACAACTCACATTAAGAGCACTACAAATGTCAGATACACATCTTACAGAACACAACTGACATTGTGAGCACTATGAATGTCATATACACTACTTACTGAACACAATTCACATTATGTGCACTATTAATGTCAGATACACTATACTTACTGAACACAACTCACATTATGAGCACTATTAATGTCAAATACGTTATAAACTGCAACTCACGTACATTATAAGCACTATTAATGTCAAATACATTATACACTAAACACTACTCACATATGAGTCACTATATAAGCACTATTTATATTAGATACAGTACTTACTGAGCACATTATGAGCAAAATTTATGTCATATACATTATATACTGAGCACGATTCACGAAATGAGCATCTTATAAATGTCAGATACAAGAACAATCTTAAGTTAGATATTTTATATATACATGTATACTGATCACAATTCACATTATGAGCACTATTCATGTCAGGTACATTATATACTGAGCACAATTAACTATTCATGTCAGATACACTGCTGAGTGCACACTTCTCACGTCACTGAGCACAATTCAAGTTTTGAGCACTACTCACTACAAGAAAAGAACTTAATTGCTTAAAGCAGATACATTATTTTGTGAACAGTACTCACATCAGAATAAGCAGCTACTTGACAGGTCAGACTACATTGTTGATTTTCCCATTGACTAACATAATATGAAATGAATGTCTTAAAATTGAGAATTTATCCACAAGAAACTTAAAACTATTCCCCCTACCCTCACTCCCCCATCAAAACTTTGCTGCTAGTCACTACTTTTTGTATTTTCTGATCGCAAGATCAGTAAATACATAGCTAACATCCACGGTCTAACACAAAATTTCCTAACAGTCCTAACAACGCAAAGTAGTTCTTACTCAAAACTGCTTAAAAACCAGCAATTTAAAAGACAGAATAATTTTTAATGTAGGCATTTAACGAATTACAGTGCATTGAAAGTTCAGATTAGTCAATAGAAATATGAGGTTACAATCACAAATTTCGCGGATGAATATCATTTTAATCAATGAAAATGCTATTTTTAGCTATGTCGATTACTGAATACTCCAGGGCGTAGTATACAAATAAATCTGACTGCCGAGTAGTGGAATATATACATGTCGGACTGTTTTGGCGAGAAGATTTTCGCTAAATTATTTTTATCAGTGTTAAACAGGTTTATCGTGAACAAAATACCTCGAAATTGATATTGTTTGGTTTTATTAACCTGTCAATTACATACTGATTACGCGGTCGATGCACACAGTATGTTAATCTTCGGTAGATGTTCGGTAAGTTCCGTGAGAAGTACGCTGTACGATAGAATTTAATTTAATTTGTATCTCTAAACTAAGTGTACTCAGCGTTATAGCGCAATAGGGTAAATCACGAGTTTATAATCTAAGTGCCACACGTGTTTTAAGTTCGAGGCCTCGTTGGTCCATGTTTTTTTTTCTTATTAATACTTTCAACATTATTGAATCTATATATGATTATTTTATGTTGTTCGTTTTGTTTGATTATGTTTTACTTAATTTTGTTATGCATATACTCTTTTTAAATAACATGTTTTTTTTTAAGAATTCATGTTTAAAATTAAAACGGATTAAAATCAATAAATGTCATTTCAATGCCGTAAAACACACTACAAATCTGTTCTATTAAAATATACTGCAAAAATAAAGAAAGAGTACTAAAACAATGGCAACAGTAAGAATCGAACCACAGACCTCTCAATTATCAGGCATTCTCTTTACCGACTGTCCTATTGTGAATTAACGAAAACTTTCACATAAAGCTGGCGTGACTTTCAATCGATGACTTATATACTCCACATTAATTCTCGTAAACTACACGGACCAAACCGAAGTGGGATCGAATATTTAAATGAGTCCTATATAATGTATTCAAAATTGACAGGTCAATAAAATCAGACTATAAGGATCGATTACAAACACGAAATGGAAATTCTCAATTTAGAATTACAATGTATTTGTTTTTATTCAGGCTACATATTACGTATTACTTCACCGTGGTGCAGGGGTATCGCGCTCGTATCGCGCTCGTTTAGGGTGTGAGAGGCCTAGCTAAGGTTCAAATCCTAGTCGAGGCAACTTTTTTTTGATGTGTCCTTTTTAAGGAAGTAGCCACGATATGCAAGGATAAAGTGTGGCTGTCATAAAAATGATTTTTGATGCAACTCTAGTCATGCAAAATTCCATATGTATCAATCTCAAACTGTTATAGAAAAAAATCTTAACGCAGTCGCTGCGTAAGATGAATTATAGTACAATGTATATAAAAATAAACCTATATAGGAAAATACATACAGATAGTCAGTATGATTTAGATTGCAAAGATCAGAAAATACCACAGAGCATGCAGCCCTTTGATTAAATATGTCCATATGACAAAATATCTTAGACACTTACTAAGAAATCGACAAAAACCTAAAAAAAAATACATTTATAAGCATCACGTTTTAATCCAATGACCTGATGGCCCATTGAATCTTACGGTTTTTCAGCCATTTATCACTACATTTATCTGACCGTGAACATCTGAAATTCAATAATCACATCTGACCATTCAAAATGGATGGTTTCGTACCGGCTCGAAAAAAGAAACAGAAGAAGTCTAAGAACTCATTAGATGTAATTGGAAATCATAAACAAAGGATAGAGGATATTAAGTGTGATACATATCTATGTTCTTATTAATTCTGAACAACATGTCTCTTCTGTAAATGTGTATGGTAATCAATTGTAATGCGATTTCGTGACAGTTTTTACGAATTACGGACATTTCGGACCACGGACGTTTCGGACCAGACATTTCGGACCAGATTTTTTGGTCATTTCGGACCAGATTTTGGGACATATCGGACCATGCGATGGTCATTTCGGACCATGATGGGGACACTTCGGACCAGAACATATATTCCTTTTTATATATAATTATTTGTTATTTCAGGATGTATTTACAATATTTGACATTTTTTATATTTCATGATATTCAAAATGCATGCAGTAAAGACCTGTCCGACGGGATTTTAACATTTTCTGATAAGCTTATATTACCATTGTTTTGACTATCCATGTAAATACTTCTATCGTAATTCATTTATGTATTTCTATACGCTGACATTTTTTTAATATTGAAAAAAATTTAAAACAATAATAAAATACCTTTAGATCTATATTGGTAAGCGTAGGATATACGCTGAATATACATATTTAATGTCAACTTTATCCAAATTAAATCGTGATCTAGAAGGTATTAAAGAACAGCGACATCCTTGTCAATGCAGTTTTTCACACGTTTTAATTGCTGAATAGAGCTCGTTTAAGTTACGATTCACTCAATTAAAGAAGTATGTATGTAATTTTCACCTTATTTTACAACAAATATTCAAATTGATTGGATTAGATTGGCATGCGATTAAAGTACAGTTTTAATTAACAATAAACAACAAACAAATTGATTAATTGTAAACAAATTTGAAGTCCAGACTGCAATATAAAAAGATGTAAAAATTGATCTATTAATTTTAATGGTAAATAAATATGTTGTAAATAATCTATATATATTTCGCCATGTCTTTTTTGTATATATTTTAAAATAAATTGTTTGCAAACGTGTGTCATTAAAACATTGCTTGTTTGTTTTTTAATTTTCTTCATTTATAGTGTAAAATATATAAAATCTAAATCGGGATAGGTGTAAAATCGTCCCATTGTGTCAATATATATATATAAAGTTTCTTTAGTTTATCGAATAATTGCCTAATATATCAAAAAAAAAAAAAAATTAATCTGGTCCGAAATGTCCAAAACAATGGTCCGAAATGTCCAACACATGGTCCGAAATGTCCAACACATGGTCCGAAACGTCCAAATATCTGGTCCGAAATGTCCCAAAATCTGGTCCGAAGTGTCCCGAAATCTGGTCCGAAGTGTCTGGTCCGAAACGTCCATGGTCCGAAATGTCCTATTACCGTTTTTACATACTGTCGTGTATTCGGACGTTCATTCTTTTCGGATAAATTTGTTTGTACACCTTAAAATACAAGCGTAATTACTATACAGTGCAATCTTAAATACACTGACAGTGAGTGAAGCATCAATTGTTTAGCTTCCATCAGAGTATAGCTTAAGCATATTGCAGCAATTACACATGCTCATGTAGTTTAACTTTCCCTGCAAGAAGCACTGCTTTAAGTCTGTAATTAGTTTAGTTTATACAAGTTTCTTACAAGTCTCTAATTGATTGCTTGTCAATGCAGCATACCTGCATATGTTACATTTGAACTAATATCATTATGTTTTTAAACCTCATTGCCATTATTGCAAACTTGAAAAGTTCTCGGCACTGAAAGGGGTTTGACCAAATTGGACCTCCTGATTGAAAGTTGACGTTCAACCACTTCGCTATAAGGGTTACAATAGTGCTTTTATATGTGGCCTACACCTATAACATTACAAATTTAGCTGTAGATATAATTGTATTTTCAAGGACATTGAAATATGGTGAAACAATAAGGATTTTGAATATATTTATGTTTTATAAATTGATTTGCATACTTTAATTTCAGGTTTGATATCTGTTCCACACAGTTCTTCAGAGAAACGGCTGGTAAGTTTTATAATGCTATATGTAACTTTTGATACTACCTTATAATTCAGATTAAAATATCACAAAAGTCAATTGATCCAAGTGCAGATGGCAGTACATTAGTCCATAGATTACTTGAGAGGAAAAATAGCAACATTATTTTAAATCTGTTTAATTAACAGATTAATGTTAGTTCTGGCTTAGTGATTAATGTGTCTGCTTGACTGCCTCTGCACAAAAGGTTTGAGCACTGCTGAGGTCACAACAATGTTCCCTCATATGACACCAGTACTTGTTAGTTCTAGGGTGGTTTAGATACAAAATGTAAGCTACAACTTTTTTTTCACAATCTAGTTAAACAGCATGCCCAGTCACGCACTACACAGCGTAATTCACACACAAAATTTTAGATGCACACAAAAAAAATGTAAGCAGAGGGTACATGCAGGCAAAGTAAAATCGTCAGAATGAATGTTTGGTCAGGGATAGCGTAATATGCATATAAACTAAATGTAGTTGCCATCTACCAATGGTTAGGAACAGTACAAACCCGGTCACTATTGCATGTCTGCTTTCAAAGTCATCTCAGTCTGATTTTTAAATATTTTAGTCATGTCTTGATGTCACATGTACTATCTTAAGAAAAAAAGTTTTGGATATTTACAACTGCCAAAAAGTATTTTGAGTTCTCCAATGATCAGCAAAAAGTTAGTCACTTGATTTTTTAACAACTACCTTCAATCGTGAGCTTTACATATGTCATATGAAATGAAAATATAAACAATTGAGATTTTGAAATAAATGTACATAATTTCAGATATACAGAATTTTGGTAATGGGTAATAATCGTATGGAGTCGGACTAAACAAAAAATCAGTGATTGTAATGGTTGTTATATTGCTACCTTAACCCATTACTTCATATACACGCCTTTTAACGCCTTTATCACCGCCCCCCCTTTTTGTTGTCTCAAATGATGAAAATATGCCTTATTTAGGCCCCCAACACTTGTTTTTGTTTGAGAAATGTTGTTAAAAAAAGTGACCTCTTTTTCGGCGCGGCCCCCCAACCAAAAGATACATCAGGGGGTTGCCAGAAGGGGGATGTGCCCCCTTCTTTTTGGGGGGTTTGAAGGGGGGCGGAGTCCCCCTCATCGCCAAGAAAATTTTGGACTTGTGAGAGGCTGTAAATGACCCCAGATTGATCATAAGGTAATGTGTAACCAACGCTGAAAAGCATTTGACTCTATCTCAATCCATTGAAAAGTTACAGCACTTTGAAATCAATTTTGATGGAAAAAATCAACGCAAAATAGTGATTTTTGGCAATTTTGAGATGTCCCCTCGTTGCCATGGTAACAGAAAATTTAAGCCTGAGCATGTTGTTGCAAGGGCAATGGTCCAGTCAACATTTGTGCCAAGTTTGATTAGTGTTGAAGCAGTTTTTATAGTATTATAGCAATTTGAACTTGTAACGGGAGACTTTTCAATGAAAACAGCCATTTTTCACAAAATGCTCATGAAGTAATGGGTTAAGTGATGAGTTTGTGTCTGTGTTAGTGGTGAAAGAGCTGTTCATTAATATCATGTTGACTAAAATATTCTCACAAAAAAAACAAACAACATGTTTAAACTTATGTGACTGTGTACCCCCAGATTTTGAAATGTACCCCCAATTTTCAATGACGGGGGGTACATGTACCCCTACATTTGAAATTGAGTGGGCATGCTGGTTAAAGGAGGTCATGTTTAAAACTAAATCTGTGTTTATATTTGCTCATTATTTAACCTCTTTCAAGTTCAAAATTAATAGAAACAGATTCTGACAAGGCCTAAAATAAGGTATTGTTTGTTTTCAATCCAGCTACCAACCTGCAAAAAAAATCCTTGCTACCCCCAAAAAATATGTCTTCTGTCCAAAAGAAAATGAAGATTTTTAATAAATATCGAAGCAGAATTAATTGTCTTATGTTTTTGCATGGTAGATATACTAACTAGGGTATGTGTTGAATAAATTTTGGTTCTAAACTTTAAACAGATTCACATTTTATTTTAAATCCATATGCTTCAGATAATATATAATTAAGATTTAAATGGTAATTACATTTTTGTGTGTTCATTAAATAAAATAATTTGAATAAAAAAAACCATCTTTATACACAACTGAAACTGATAAATATGGGTTGCGAGAGGGGAAACAAAGGTATTTTTTAAGGCTGGTCCAAATATTATTATTTATGTGATACATGGATATAAAATTTAAATCAAAACTTTATTTATTTTAATTGTTTATTTACAGATTCTATTAAAATGGTTCTTCAAGAGAAATTAACAACAGGTAAACTTAATTTCAATTAGCTTTTGTAGTAAATTATTTATGGTACAAAAACTAAAAAAAGTCCAAACAAATGGAAATTTTGTCTATTTTGAAAAAGTCTCTAACTATTTACAGTAACAGATGATCACTGTGTTAACTCACAATACATGTAAGTGATTCTCTTTTTTTTCTCTTTATTCTTTTTTTGTGTGGAAATTTAAGTTTGAAGGTTTAATGGTATGACTTAAAAAAGGGTTAGCAAAAAAAAGTAAAATCGTTTGACTTCAAACCACTTGACTTTCGATTCTTTCATGTGAGGAAGCTATGCAACTGCCTTAGTGGTTGGTGGCTTTTAACTCCTGTGCCTGTTTGTTTCTGAAATAATGCGTAGAAGGGCACCTGAGGTCTTCCTCCACCAGTAAAGCTGGAAAGCCGCCATATGACCTAAACTGTGTTAGTGAGACGTAAAAACCCAAACCAACCCAAAAAAAATCTTGAATAAATACTTTCTGTTTTAGCAAAGAAGCAGTCATCAAACACAGATTTAGTTTGTTATGGACTTGGCAATTTCATGGATTCCTACATTGCCAGATACCAGCTGGCATTACTTCTGGCACTTAGAGAAGAATTACAGGTTACTATAACATTTATCTTCCCTTTTTTGAAATTATTTATTTTAGTATAAAATGTTTGAAATTTTGTAGATACAGAAACCAAGGTCATGATTTCAAAGTTTAAATATTTTGTTGATTTAAGTCATTGAATCAGTTTTCACATGACATTACTTTTTTCTTTTTATTTAAAGGTCCATAATGCTCCAGAAATGTTTTAATTTTTACTTCTTAAAAGCTTTTCATTTTTGGTGTACTACATGTATATTGTAGATCAATTACCTTCTTTTTCTTCTGCTTCTATTTGGCAATTTGTACATTTACAGTGATTTAATATTTTGTATGTCAAATTACTACTTTATTTACATTTTGCTAACTTAATTTACAAATATTTTAATGTTTACTTTATTGGTATTTTCTTTAGGTAACAAACATTTAATATGCTCTAAAACCAATATTTAAATGATATAAAATTCATATTTGTCTTTTTTGAAAAAAGTAAACATTATTTGTTTGTGAGGCGTATTAATGTGCCTTCAATTTGGTGAAAGTTTTTTTTACAATACTTATTGCATGCATTTTTATTTAGAAAAAAAAGCAAATTTATCTTTTTTGATTATTTCAGACTTTGTGAAATTGCAAAAGAATGTAAAATACTGTAAGATTCTACTTTTAACCCTTTAATGATTGTAAAAACTACATAATATGAATATTAAAGCTTTTCAATTACCATCTGAGTAGGAGAATGAAATATTGGTTTTTTAAGATGTTTCATCAATTATTTCAATATATAATAATTCTAAAAGATAATGTTTGTGTACAATACCGACAATATTTACAGATAGTAGAAGGATGTTGTGAGATATATGACCCACAGTTTGTACCAGAGGAGGGAGCTTTATTATCTGAATTAAACTTTACTGTGCTGCAACACAACCAGGTACATTGTATGTTTAAATACTAAAAAACTTCCACTTGGTTGTCATTTAAATACTTCTGCTATCATTTTTGACTTTATCACATATACAAAAATATGTTTTTGGAGTTTTGAGGCAACCCAAAATGCATGTTATTAAAGCAGTGATGTAAGACTATATGAATATTACACCGGCTGCCGGTACAGACCGGAATATCTAGCTCGAGGGTGACTGTTTACGGCGGTAACGAGGCTCTGCTGAGTTTCCGCTAAACAGTTACCGATAGCTAGATATTCCCGTCTGTACCGACGGCCGGTGTTTGATTCTTTTTCTTGCATATTACATATCAACTATTTTCAGAACAGAAATTACGAAACTGATATTCTCATGACGCACTTATTTCTTATAGTAGCATATGAACGTACAACTTCATTCATAACGGTTAAGTGACATCATCATAAGAACGCAATTCATTCATAAAAGGCGCGCAGCAATGACGTCATTTAAAGCACGTGACTTGTCTTACATGGGGGGTGTACGACAGGGTTTTCTAGCACCGGTGTAAACGGTAGATAATCCTGTCTGATATGGAAGAAAGCCATTTTGGCCACAAGCTTTGTCTTAATGACATCCCAGAACTTGCATCCACTCAGAATATTTGGTCACTTAGACCGTTAATGTACTGTTTAGGATACTGTGTTTGATCCTTAGTGAAAGAATATGTGCCCTAGTGAAATATTTGGATAGTTCTGAGTAATTATACTAATTCATTTGACTCTTACCATGCTAAATATCTAAACTGGACTTGCCATGCTTTCATTCTTGGCAACACAGTTATAGAGAAAAAATTCAAAATATGCACTGACTGAATAGGGAACAGTGCAGACCATGATAGGATTGCACAGTGGTGCCGGCTAATCTTGGTCTGCACTGGTTGCCTGGGTAGATTCAGTTGCTGTCAGCAGGATAAAAGTTTTGGTACCTTAATAATGTTTAATTCAACCCACCTTGCTATTAGAAAAATTCACAAACAAATTTATGTGGAGTTTGGCACATGGCTTGAACATGTAAACATGACATATCCTACGAAACAGCTCAAGTCTATTGAAATATGAACATGATTCAGTATACCAGTTCACATAGATGTTTTCTCTCAGACGCTCTTAATTGGTCTTTATTAAAATGTATTTATTTTGGGTTTGGTTAAATGTCTGTTTCATTGTCTGACTCATGTATAAAGATTTTCTTGCTTTACTTACGGAGACATCTATGTTAAAGCAGAGACATTGTAAATTCCCTTGTACTTATAAAGTTGTATATTTTGTAGGAGGGTAAGAGAGAGTGTATTGAAGACAGAATTACAGTTTTCTACATGCCTCATTGTGGTAAAGCCCTGTATAATAATGTATTGTGGAGAAATTGGGGACAACGGTTAGAGAACATCATCGTTATTGGCAACAGCTTCACTCATATGATTGAAAAGTAAGTGTAGAGAGATTTGAAACTGGTATGATTTATGTTAATCCAAATTCTACCGTTTCTGATTTTCAACTATCATACATATTTCTTACCTAACATAGGACAGCATTATTGATAGTCTGAAAGGCGCTTGAAATTTCCTATAAAGAAGTAAAGACAATTGAAATAATTTTATAGATTATACTGCAACACTTGGATAAAATTTATTTCACTGTTGAATTTTCAGTACACCTTCAAGAATTCTGGAGAGCACAGCAAATTATGTGATTAAGGTGAGGAGTGTTATGTTAACTAGTTTGCTTTCTTATTTGTTGCTAATGTACTTTTGTTTAATGCATACATGCTAGTTAATACACATTTTTAGCCAACATAGGTATTAACAATTCTTTGAGGTGCTTCCGTGTCCGAGTGGTTAAGTTGTTGACTTTAAACCACTCGCTCCTCACCGCTGTGGGTTCGAATCCCGACAGGGACTTGGATTCTTTCATGTGAGGAAGCTATCCAGCTAGCTTACGGAATGTTGGTGGTTCTACTTAGGGGAAATAATGCACAGAAGGGTACCTGAGGTCTTCCTCCCCTGGTAAAGCTGAAAAAGTTGCCAAATGACCTATACTACGTAGGTGTGACGTAAAACCTAAACAAACAAACAAATAATTCTTTACTTGCCCTTTTGCAACTCAGTATTGTATGCAATGTTCCTCTCTTATTTTGAAAGATGTCTAGCACAGAATGAATGGAGATGATGACAGTGTAAATTGCACATTTATTTACCATCGGACAATGTGTACTTTTTAGTTTACATACATACTGACTGCATTTGTTTGTACTTTATCAATTAACACTTTCGATATCTGCATCTGCTTTGGTAGCCAGATAATTGAATACGAACTTGGTGACATTTAAATTCTTTTGTTTTCAATATATCTGTTGATCAGGCAAAGTTTTAATTGAAACATTTTTTTTTCACAGTTTTCAAATTGTCAATATGTAACTGTAGCATACACTTAAAGATGGTCTGGTGCTGATAGATGGACATCCTGTTTTGATATATGTACCCCTATTGATTGCACATTTAATATATTCATTTCCTGAATTATGTTTCAAAGGCAAAGTTTACTGTACTAAATGTACATTGATATAAATAAATATAGTTTTCAAAATTTGAGCTTCTAAATCTGTTGTTTACAGATTCAACCATATACACAGGAAACTTTGTTACAAGTTCCGTCACAATACGAGGATGTTTTCAACGACACAAGTATCCACACCTTTCGATCACATGACCTGCAAAATGTTCCTGAAAACTTTTGGCAAAACTGTCCCGAGCCTGTGTATGATCCCAGTGACGCAGAAATTATTTTCAGCTGACATAGGTCATGTTTAACTTTATGATCTGTTGTCTGAGAATAGTGTTATATCACATTTTTATGCCCTTTCATATGTGTAAGCTATTTTTATCTGTAAGCCAACTAAATTACTTACAGAGCGTTGGTAGTAGGGGTGTAATGTTTATCTGTTTAAACAAGTACTATCTTTTTTAGCTAAAAACCAGTTAAAAATTCAATAACCGGTAACCAAAATAATGGATAGAGGGCCTATACCAGTAAAATATTGTAAATTATATATTTATTTTCACTTTCTGTTTAAGTTTATATATTTCTGTTAAAGCATTGAAATTTTGTAATATGGAAACTTGTGTGCAAGAAAAATTTTGTTATGTTGTAAGATTGTTATCTGACTTCGATAATACATTTATACAAGAATACTATTTTGTTTGTTGTTTTTCTTCGTTATAATATCATTTTTTTAGGATTTCATGTTAAATTGATCCAAGGCACACAATGTATATGAAATCTTTATGCATTGCAGTAATATGAAAGATACATTGAAAAGAAAGAAACATGAAATATTTATCATCAATACCAAAGTATCTTAAACCAATGATGTTATGTTGAATCTGTTTGCTAAATTTATTTTAAAACAGTTTTTTTTTATTTTCACTTATTCAAGCTACATACAAGAAAAGGACTCTATGGCCAAGTGGGTAAGGTTGCTGACTCAGACTCTTTTGCACCTAACTGCTGTGGGTTCAAAACACTTGAAGCTTAATACTTTAATGTTAGATAGTTTTCTCCCTTGTCAAATAGAAAAATCCCTTACTGCTTCAAAAAATGTTTGTGCTGAAAAATCCTAGCTCTTATGGGCTTATCTCACACTCCATGTGCAACACATCATTACATATTCCCAAACATACACTTGCACCTCACTGGTGTTGGTTCTAAACCCACTGGAGACTTGATTCTTTCGTGTTACATGTAGGATAGCTCTTCAGCATACAGAAGGTTGGTGGTTGTACTAAGGTGCCCACTTTTGCCTGGAATATTGCATAGGGAGTTTTCTCTCCCATTATTCGATTTAGACATAATGTCGCATCCTTTACCTCTGTCAGCATGACTTAAATAAAATTCAACCTGTGAAATTACATACAATTGGTTTTGAAGGGAGAAAATAAAAATACTAGATATGTAGAGCTGTTAAATATATATTATTTTTTTTACTTTTTAAGAAATATACATACAAAATCCATAACATAAAAAATCTTAAATATAAAAGTATGAACAAAGTTAATTTTGACAGTTGACTAAAGAGGTTGTTAATATATTCATGTATCTATTAGTAACAAAAATGGAAACCAGAATCGAACCATATTAACTTGCCTACAAGACAAAACTTTTCCATGCAATTTACAGTGTTATTCTGCACACCTCAACTTTTAAGTGGTTTAGCAATGACAATAATAGTACAGAAGTGAGAGCCTTGATCCAACTAGTCAACTAACAAACATTTCACAAATCAAAGCAGAAGTGGCATGTTAATATTTCTTTTATTACACCAAACTTTAGTACATCTTGAATAGAAAGAAAGTACTTCTATGCCTGTGAAAGAAATTATGTCTCTGAAACAACAATACTTTTAAAAACTTTTAACAAAAAGTAACATAAAAAAGAAAGCTTTCAGCAGATATCAATGTAATTGTTATGACAGCTTTAGTACTCAAACTACTCCTAACATGCATACAAGTTTGTAGAATCTACTACGCGATTATGCACCACTAAATTTTAGCATTTTAAAATAGAAATATGTCTGCTCAACTTGATCTTTTTACTGAAGGGATAACAAGTCTAATGGTCATTTGTCTCTTGTTGCTGATTCAGAAATCATTTGGAGTTGTCTGACACTTGTGGAGAAATTGATAATTACAGGTTTGTTATCTGGGAAAGCCATCAAAAATACCCAACCACCGAGATATTACCTAAAAATGTATAAAAATCTGTTTAAAAACAAACAAACAAATGGTGTTGAAATTTCTACAGTATAAGGTTTGCTGACGCATCGGTAAAGAGTGAACACATCTATGTAATAAAAAATATTAACTGATGTAATTAACTGAGATTCTTTGTTGCATCTCTCTGTTAACATTTATTTTATTTCTTAAGGCAACATGCATTATGAACTGTAGCCTAGCAACTTGGGTTGAATTTTTTCTCTTTATATTAAAAACAAAAAAGTTCAAATAACTAAACAATTATGTGTTGAACACACACCAGGAAAGAACTTTACACAAGTCTTTGACTTTCTTTTTGATCCTGTATCACATCATGTGGTTGTACATAATTGTACATGTTTTAACTAGATGAAACAAGCAATTATCATAGTATTGCAAGCAATCCATAAGTCCCCTACCGGTAAGAGCCTAAGCAACATTCTGAAGGGCCATTGGCCATTCACTTATGTTTCTATTTTAAGTGATCACAGTGAACAGTTTTTATGTACAGACAGACAGAGAGACTGAAGGACACTCTAAAGTTATTTTTTAAACATCCCTGTTATCAAAATATAACATTTTTAAAGCAAAATTTTAAAAAAGGAGATAACGATGTCATAAATGATGTGAGTGTAACAAAGAACAATTAGTAATGAAGGTATGAATATTGAATGTTTATTTTGAATTTGAAGTAAATGAAAGTTAAAAGAACGAATAGGAAAAATAAAAAGTTTAAGGAGGAGATAATTCTGGAAATATGGATGCTAGATTTATAAACCTTGTCATATTATTGTCATATTATTATGATGTGGGAGTTTGAAGAAAATCCTATCATAATTGAAGAAAATTACCAATTTCTCAAAAAAAAGTCAAGTTCAAAAGGGGCATAATTCTGGAAATAGTCTTGCTAGAGTATTGAACTTTTTCACAAATGTTGAGTGATAATAAGAAACATTTATATGAAGTTTGAAGTAGATACGTTCAGAAAAAAAGAAGTTATTAAAAAAAACAAAGTTTTTTTCATGAAAATTTTAAGTTCCAGGGAGGTAATTCTGATAAATTTTGTGCTAGAGTTGTAAACTTTGTCACATATGATGTGGTTGATGACTATCAACTTATATTTAAAGTTTGAAGAAAATACCTTAAGAAATAAAGAACTTATAGTGAAAAAACTGAAAAACTAGAATCAGAAATCTTGAAATTCAGTCTATTTGTTGCCATAGCAACCAGAATTTTCAATACAGGAAGATAAGAAAAGAATGTGCATTATTTCCATACTGCCATCTACCAATATGTCAAGTTTCATAAAAATATTTTCAGTAATTTTTGCGTTATCACTGGATCCAGGTTATGTGTAAAATTTGCCATATTTTCAGTCTATTTGTTGCCATAGCAACCAGAATTTTCAGCATAGGAAAAAAAGAAAAAGACGTGCATAATCTCCATACTGCCATCTATCCATATATCAAGTTTCATAAAAATATTTTCAGTACTTTTTGCGGTATCGCGGGATCCAGGTTATGTGTAAAATTTGCTATATTTTCAGTCTATTTGTTGCCATAGCAACCATTATTTTCAACATAGGAAGAAAAAAAAAGACGTGCATAATCTCCATACTGCCATCTATCCATATATCAAGTTTCATTAAAATATTTTCAGTACTTTTTGCGTTATCGCGGGATCCAGTTTTGTGGACGGACGGACTGACGGACTGACAGACGGACGGACAGACAGACGGACAGACGGACGGAGGGTAAACCTAAAGTCCCCTCCGGTAAACCGGTAGGGGACTAATAAATACTGTTTAAACCAACACACACCAGTATAATAAATTTTGAAATATTCAATTTCATGTTATTGTTTATTGTCCTTGTATTCAGTGATACAAAATTTGTTTTCTGATTAAGTACATACACATCAAATTACTCATTTTTTCATGTGATTCTGATATTTTATGTCTGAATAGTATATCCCTACAAAATCAAATTACCCACAATTATGTTAATATTCTGATTAAATTTTCACCAATGCCATTTTCATATTTCTAGCAATTTCTAGCAATCTAAGAGCAATTAATTCTGGAAAGATTTCAAAAATCCAGCTTAACGTTTGTAACTCTTAACTATTTAATTTGCTTTAATTCATTGATGCACACAAAGTCATCAGTGTATGTATAAAAGACAAGAACAGGAGAAGGTATTAGGCAAGTTGAAGGACTTTGGCCACTGTCTGGACTGTTGTGTTATGCATCTGGTTCCTATTGGTCTGAAATGTTGAGATGGCTTGATCCCGGCTTGTCTCCCAATTGTATAAATCCCTGAAACAAGAAAAATAGTTCACAATTTCAACCCTTTACTTTCTAAAACATTAGCTTTATAAATATTTATCTAAAACATGACGCTAGTGGTCATCATTTCATATACCACTTTTTTATCAATTAAGCTATACTATCAATTTTTTAATGCCACCTTTCAATAAAGACCATATTTTATATTTCGAGACTGGCCTTTGTCGACAGCTTGGATTATACATGTTTAGAATCTTTTACAAATTGACATTTGATACTGCAATATATACAAGAGGGGTAGGAGTGTTCTAAAGCAAGCCTGTGGCAAGCTTTCACACATTTCTGAAATGAATTTAATAAAAGTTTTTTGGTGAGATTAAGTTCATAGAATAGTATAAAATGAATTTGCATTCTGAATCATTTATAATTTGATAGAAAGTTACCTGTAAATTGGTTTAACAAATTTCATCCTTCCTTGCTCAGTGACAAATTGTAATGCTGGTTTAATGGCTGGCTCATACTGAGCTTTTATACACACACGCAACCACCTGTAATAACATTAAATACATTGTAATATAGACATAGTCGTTGTATTCAGTGGAAAGTATTATAATGCTAATTAGCTGGGTTTTTACAATTTGACTTTCCCAACCATGTTGGGCAAGCACTGATTTTAAAGTCAAAGTTCACATATGCCCCTATGTTGTGATGGCAGCACTTGTTTTAAAGTCAAAGCTCACACTATGCCCTTATGTTGTGATGGGAGCACTTGTTTTAAAGTCAAAGCTCACACTATGCCGTTATGTTGTGATGGGAGCACTTGTTTTAAAGTCAAAGCTCACACTATGCCCTTATGTTATGATGGCAGGGAAAATGATTTACTGGTGTATAAGCTGCTCAGTTGTAGACTGTAAATCCCTCAACCTTGTAACAGACGGTCTTGAATTTCAGCTATGTATGGATAAAAACATCAATTATTGTCAACCTCCTATAGACCATACCAATTGATGTTTTTTTCCCCATTTCTCATTTTCAACTACATTGTAATTGGGAGTTTTTTTTAGTCTGAAATCAGATAAACTTGAAAAAAAAACAATGACAACAACAACCAAAAGGTAAATTTGGACACTATTGTGGGAAAATAGCTATTTTTAGGTTTTGGATAACATAAGGTCACCCCATCTACCAGACCTTTCTGAGGAAATAAGGAATCAATGCCTCAAAAGAAATATCATTTCATTTTATGTATCAAATAAACTTAAAATGATGTCAGGCATTCAATGACTATGCCAATGCTGTGCAAACAAAAGTAATTCAGGTTTATACTCTTCATTGTGGTGTAACTTTTAACTATTACAGTAAAGTAACAATATTTTAATTGAGAAATATGCTATAAAGAACAAAACACAACACACGCTTAAATAACAGTCTCAATTTAAGATCTCTATTTATTTTTAGATTAAATATATAATATGATACTACACTCAGTTGTTGACTACTGTTTGCACCAATGATTGAAGCTATATTTACATCATAATTATAATAAACATCAATAATAACAGTATATAAAACATAAGACAAATCTATGTTTATCTTAAATTATATTGATAAATATTACCTGAATTTTATTTCTGAGTTTTTTACTTCATCAAATTTGTATGTGTCCCTCATTTTAATGATTTTGGCATGTGACAATGGACTCTGGAAATTAATAAATACATAATTAGTAACACAAGTTGCTGAAGGATATACGGGAGAATATTGCCTAAAGGAGATAAATATGACCTGAAGCCCTAGCAGATAATATTCTTATATATCAAATTACAAAGTATGTTAGCAATGCATTATGCACTGATATTCACTATACAGGCGATGTTATCTTCCAATAAATAATTGCTATCATTTATGCTAGCCAATGAGATGCTAGATTTTTATCAACAAGATCTCGGGTATATCACTCATTGTACAAAAATACGTTCACAAATAAAATATTCCGAAACAAAATATTTCACTGCCATTTTAGTTGGTTTGACGATGATTTCAAGCAAGCCCCAATCACTTTCAATAAAATAAAATAACAATTTTCTTTCAATTTATGTATTCTGTAATTGTTCGACCCATAAAATGAACAATAATTTTACAACATTCACAGACATCAGCTTATATAGCTTTATACACTAAGTGAAAGCATAACTTACATAGTTGAGGAATGCTGCAAGGAACTGTTCAGTTTGAACTGGTAAAAATTGTTCCACGTCACTGTATGTGAACCCTGAAAGCTGCTCCTCACTACTGTCTAACCATCGCTTGGCGAGGGTCTCGCAACTCTCTGCCAAGGTCATATCGTAACTGAATTTCATTAAAATTTCATAAAGATAAAACTTGTAAACAAGAGCCGGTTGAACCGGGTGATGCTCCCCGGACACAGGAAGGTATACTTCTTGTAATGTTAGAGTTATGTCACAGACAAAGTTCATAGTGTAAAAACAACCCAAATGTTGTGCACAACACATTGTCTCAATATGGTGATCATTTCTGTGAAATAGTTGTAAAATCCGACTTCAAATAACAAAGTTATGGGCCGGACACGATTTTGCTGCAAGGTCATGCTGTGACCTTGACCTTCAAGGTAGCGACCAAAATGTTTCGCATAACACATTGTCTCAATATGGTGATAATTTCTGTGAAATAGTTGTAAAATCCGACTTCAAATAACCAAGTAATGGGCCAGACACAATTTTGCTGCAAGGTCATTCTGTGACCTTGACCTTCAAGGTAGCGACCCAAATGTTGTGCGCGACACGTCGTCTCAATATGGTCATCATTATTGTGAAATAGTTTTAAAATCCGACTTCAAATAACAAAGTTATGGGCCAGACACGAATTCGGGACATACGTATGGAAGGAAAGCTCATGCTGTGACCTTGACCTTCAAGGTAGCGACCCAAATGTTGTGCGCGACACGTCATCTCAATATGGTGATCATTTCTGTGAAATAGTTTTAAAATCCAACTTCAAATAATGAAGTTATGGACCAAACACAATTTTTGCTGCAAGGTTATGCTGTGACCTTGACCTTCAAGGTAGTGACCCAAATGTTGTGCGCAACACGTCATCTCAATATGGTGATCATTTCTGTGAAATAGTTTTAAAATCTAACATCAAATAATGAAGTTATGGACCAAACATGATTCTTGCTGCAAGGTTATGCTGTGACCTTGACCTTCAAGGTAGCGACCCAAATGTTGTGCGCGACACGTCATCTCAATATGGTGATCATTTCTGTGAAATAGTTTATAACTTTTAAAATCTGACTTCAAATAACAAAGTTATGGGCCGGACACGAATTCGGGAGGTATGTACGGACGGACGGACAGACTGACGGAAAACCTGACGACTATATGCTTCCCCGAAATTTTTCGGGGAGTATAACAAATGAGCCGCGTCACGACAAAACCACGGTATTGCGTTGGCAACCAGCATGGATCCAGACCAGCCTGCCAGTCTGATCAGGATCCATGGTGTTCCCTATCAGTTTCTCTACTTGTAATAGGGTTTGTAAGCAAACAGCATGGATCCTGATCAGACTGCGCGGATGCCCAGGCTGGTCTGGATCCATGCTGGTCACAAACGCATTACCTTGGTTTTGTCGTGACGCGGCTCAAATGTAAGTGTTGTAGACTAACCGTTACGCTTAAGCTGTTGCTTGGGGGTGTGAGAGATATTGCTCTTTTACATTATCTCTCACTTCATTTTTTTACATTATCTTATACTAGTAATCGAGTTGGCAATTTTCATATTATTTTATTGTTTTCATAGCTTTTCCAGGATTTCCCCTTTTCCAGATACACTGTATTTAGAAAGTTTATGAATATTGTTCTTTAACAACTGGAATTTTTTCCCATTTTAAAGTTTATTACAAATTTTAATATTCAATTCCATAGAAATAAATTTCATTGTCACAGAAAACACAGAATGATAAAGCATTATTATATTAAAGAGCAAAAAACAGTAGAATACATGCAAAATTTAATTCTTATACAAGATATAACTCCAAAATAAAATCTGATATTAAGCATGTACAATAACTCTATAAGGTGAAAAATCTTAAGATACTTCCAACAAAATTTGAGCAGCAAAACATCATCTAGTGTGACTGCATGAAAATGCAAGACTCCATTTACCTAATATTATCAAGCTTAAAAGGAAAGTAAACCACACTCCAGTGCTCAACGACTTACGTTGGTTTGACAGGTGGCATCCCAACTCCATACAACCAACCGTCCCAATCAACCTTATCAAATACACCGGCTGCAGCCTGTCAAACGTAAGATGTATGAAATTATAACATTTTAACTTAATTTCACTATAACATAATGTAAGGAATACACTTATAATTGCTACACACAGCTGACATTCAATAATTATCTTCATCAGCTGTAAAGTTCAATCCTCCACTCGGATTTAAGCAGTTTCAACATAAAAATGCTTAAAGCTCAAGTAACTGACTCCCAATAGCTAGGTGGCTTAGTTGTAAAGTTGTCTGCCTCTTAATAAGGGGACTGTTGGTTCAAGACTTACAGGGGTCATAAACGTCATAACCATGTTTCCTCATATGACACTAGTTCATTAGACTCCCCCTTCAACAATATTTAGGGAAACACTAAATCTATATCGTTATATACAGATATTGTTATATCCAAGAGACTACCAGTTTCAAAACCAGAGTCGGTCCTAGGCAACAGCATTGTTATAAGTGGTGTGGAGTTTTACTGTATTAACTTATTTCAATAAGCAGTCAAGTTGTTCACATAAGCTACCCAGTTTTCTGCACAATTGAGCTAAAATAAATATGTTAAGAAAAATGATAGGCAAACAATCTAATGGGATCGTACCTTAAGTATAAATATCAAACAAATGATATAAATTAATCTCTACCTGTTCATGGAAGTACGTGAATAGGAACTCTTTCCAGTCTGCTGTAGTTATGGATTTGTATTTAAACTTGTCAATGTATGTTTTCATGAATGGCTCAAATACGTCTGAAAATTACATCATTATCTGAAGTCTCAGAATGCTAGAATAATCATAATCTTTAATTTAAAGGAACTTCACTGAGGTCCAAAAACCTAGGTACTTAATACAGATAAATATGAAAAATATATGATGAGACATACTCAGATTTGAATTGAAAATCAATATTTACTGCCATTCCAATCCTGATTTGAGTTATAAACATTAAAAACAATTTTCGTTTTAGGTCATTTTGCACAAAAAAAAAGATAATTCTTGCAAATAAAGAGTGAGTGAATGACTTAAAATGTTGCACTCATTATTGACATAGAGGTAACGGTACATCAAATGGAATATAAATCTCAAAACAATAATGCAAAAAACCTCAGGCCAGTCCCTTTAAAGATATACTTGGCTCATCTTTGGGTAAAATACTTCTATTTCAGAAATTTATTAAAATGTAGGAAACTCTTACTAAATATGGATATTTAAATAAGAAAATGTATTAAATATTTTTGGGAAGCTGCATTACCTAATACTAGTAAGGTAATGTGCTCATTTCTTAAAAAACCTGCCAGGTTTTCTTAATGACACTATGTTTTCATACTGTGTTTACCTGTAGAGTGTAGAATTCTAAACATAACATATCTTCCCTATTATATGTACACAAAATATGTTAATTTTACATCTAAAAAGATCTTGTTAAGCAATTATCAGTATTTTCAAATATCAAATTTGAGCATAATTCATCTTAAAAGAGGTACAAATTACTTTCACTTTCACAGTTGATAACAAGCCACATACATACCTGGACCTCCTAGTAACTGTTCTAGATAAAACAGTAAAGCATGACCTTTCTCGTATGGTATAGATGAGAAGGAATCGTCAGGGTCAACACCTTTCGTATCTTGTACTAATTTTGTATAAGGATGCTCTTTACCCAAATCATCAACCTGAAGGTATATAATTATACATTGTAATATTTTTTTCTGGTTTGACGATGATTTCAATACATTTTCGGTCACAACTTGGTGGTCAATCTACCTAACTAGCATTCTAACTAATAATTAACTATCAAATTGTTCACAACTGACCAGCTACTAATCCAACATGATTTCTGAATCAACCATTAGAAACAAAAGACCAATTAACTCATTGTCTGAGGTCAACCTGCCATTCACCTAGCTCGAGGTTAGAAACATTAGGCATGCATCTCTTAGCAATGATACATGACGGATGAATTCACAGTTTTTCAATCGGGGATTATCCACTCTGAAGAATTATAAATAAACTAGTAAACATTGTATTGTACAATATTATTTTTTTTTGTGTTGGGTTTAACGTCCCACCAACACAGTATACAGCATAAGTCATATGGTGACTTTCCAGCTTTACTGCTGGAGAAAAACCTGATGTGCCCCTTTGTACATTATTTCAGGTACTAACAAGAACCTGAGTAGAATCACCCACATTCTGAAGTTAGCTGGATAGCTTTCTCACATGAAGAATACAAACATTGGTGCAGCTCAAACCTACAGAAGTGAGAGGCAAGTGGTTTGAAGTCAACAACCTTGACCACTCGGCCAAGGATGCCCATATTGTACAATATGGTAAGAAATGACGCTTAATCACTTACAACCACAAGTTATAAATGAGCAGAAAGATATTATTTAAAGTTTAATACATGTACATGTATATAAATAGTGAAACATAAACACAAACATTCGTAGCAATGGCATAAATGCAATTCAAGTTAGTCAGGATTCATCAGTAATAATATTAAGCACATGTTTATCATAAGCACTCATGACAATTCATTACTATAGAAGCACAATAAAATATTTATTAAAACATGTCTAATACCTTGGAGAATGTGAATTCATAATCTAACGAAAACAAAAGTAGCAAATATCATGAGCTGGAAGTACATACTAATTTAGTTATCTAACTGTTAAAACCAATTAAGTCCTTTTACCAATTAGAGTCACCTTTACAATGTGTTAATAATACATGATGACTGGCAATTAAATTACTATAGAACATGTGAACCCGAGTGACAACATTTCACCTTGATGTCGCCTACCTTTGAACAGTCAGCTGTTTTCACACTTCCACTAATTGAGATTAAAATATGCTGGTCTTTAATTGACGGGACCAAAAACTCTTTTCGACTAAACAGGAGTCTCAGTAAGTCAAAATTTGACCTAAGTGGAGTTAATGTACAAAGATAAAGAAGGAAATTTGATGGGACTTCAGAAATTCTTTGACTTACATGCAATTTGAGTAAGGGGATTTTGACTTATTGAGAGTCAACTGTAGTTTGTTACTAAGTTTTAGGTAATAAAACAGTTATTTCATGGGTGTTTGAGGAACAGTAAACTGTTGTCCCTTCTGTGTGACCATTACAGTTCACTCTTAAAATCTGTGCCATGATCTGTGATCATGGTCTTCACTGTTTGACATTCAGTCAGTATATATTTTGAAATTTTTTCCCTAAAAATGATAAATGGTTTTGTCCAGATTAAAAGATGGACCACTCCATTTATGATATCAAGTGAGGTTAGGGTCAAAAATAGACAGATGGAACTGTTAGTGCATCATTATCCTACAGACTTACTGTTTCAGTTAATATAGTCCAGCCTTTATGAGCCAAAAATTGTCGCAATTTTTCACCTCCTTTAAGATTAGAAACAATCTTTCTTTCCACATACTTTGTGTTTCCTTCATTCAACCTAGTTAAAGAACACATTAATCAAGGCTTGAATATATATAATCAAAAGTGAAGAACATTGAAATACTGTATACCAAATCATGCTTGGATGCAAACAAAAAGTAACTATACTAAGATATCACCATTATCAGCATTCTGTTATGGACTCTTCCTTTAATGGACACTTCCTTTCAATAACAAGATATAGAGGATATTGAATGAGTGTAAGTTCAATACTGAATTTATTGCACGAGTTGAATGAAATTATATTATGCGAGCCTCTGGCGAGCATAATATTATTTTATTCAACGAGTGCAATAAAATCAGTAATTAACTTACACGAATTCAATATTCTATTTATCACATACCCAAAATAAAGACCGTTGAAAGTGAAATAAGAGTCATTTTTCATTGACGCGTCTATTGTATAACGCTAACATTTATTAGCGCGTCTTTACACTATGTTTGTATAACGCTAATGGCGTCACGTCAAAAAATATGCACGACCGTGCAATACCATTTTTACGGAGTCGCAAAATCGGCACGGGTGTGTGATAAATATTTGTAAAACATGTATGCCCCCTATTGGCAGCCAATTAGTCATGTGGCTAGGTAATTGTGACTGACTTTTGACCTAGTGACTGAAAAATCAATAAAGGTTTTGTTGAAATGTGTATACCAAATGCATTTTTAGTTCAATAAAAATATCAACCAACCTTAAATCAATAGGGGTTATCTACTGGCCAAGACCAATGCACCTGTATGATTGAAGGTTAAGGGTCCATGAGTTGTCAAGATACTGATCAGAAACTGTTTTAACCTATTTACCAATATAATCTTGACCTCTCACCCCTTGACCCAAAAATTCATTGAGGTAATCATCTGACCGAAAGCAATGCATTTGTGAAATTTGAAGGTAAAAGGTCCATGGGTTGTTGAGTTATTGATAGGAAATTGTTTTGGCATCCAAGGTCAATGTGACCTTCACCTTTAATCTCCTGACCTTACGATCTATAGGGGTCATCTACTGGCCAAAACTAATGCACCTAAGCAGTTTGAGGGCCAAGGGCCCATGAGTTGTCAAGTAATTGATCGAAAACCATTTTACCAACAAGTCAATATGACCTTGACATTTGACCCATTGAGCCAAAAATCAATATGGGTCATCTTCTTGCCAAGACCAATGCACCGACCATGTTTAAGGGCTAACAGCCCATGGACTGCCAAGTTATTGATTGGACACCGTTTCTACCTACAAGGTCAATGTGAACTTTACCTTTTACCCAAAATCAATAGGGGTCATTTGCTTGCTGAGACTAAATCACCTATGCAGTTTGAGCACCAAACGGCCTATGGGTTGTCAAGTTATTGATCAAAAACCGTTTTTACCTTCAAGCCAATATGACCTTGACCTTTGACCTCAAAATCAAGAGGGGTCATCTACTTGCCAAGACCAATCAACCTACCATACTTTAGGGCTAACAGCCCATGGGCTGTCGAGTTATTGATTGGAAACCGTTTTTACTTACAAGGTCAATGTGACCTTAACCTTTGACCCCTTGACCCAAAAATCAATAGGGGCCATCTACTTTCCAAAACTAATGCACCTTATGCAGTTTAAGCACCAAACGGCCTATGGGTTGTCAAGTTATTGATCGGAAACTGTTTTTACCTACAAGGTCAATATGACCTTGACCTTTGACCCTTGACCACAAAATAACTAGGGGTTATCTACTGGTCAAGAAAAATCTCCATACCAAGTTTGAAGTTTCTAGGCATTAGCGTTCTTTAGTTATTGATCGATAACCGTCTACAGACCGACCTTTCCAGTCTGACAGATAAAAGCAATACCCCCACTTCTTTCAAGGGGGGGCATAACAATGTATCATCCATAATAAGATATGTACATGTATAATTAAGGAATGGAAGAAAATTCAGCTTTAAAGCATTTACTGAAATATGTGTCTTATATCAGTAGAAATTAACAAATTCAAATACTTTTTCCATTAGCCAATTTAACATGGAAGCATTATGTATAAATTTACCAAATATTTTTCATCACTTCACTATAGACAAGCAAAAAGAGAAAAACAGACTCAATAAAGGAGGCTAATAATGGCAAAATTGAAAATGTTGCAGGTTCTGTGTGATTAAGCCTGTTGAACAGCAGTGTAAAGTGCAAGCTACTGTCCACGTCCCCTAGCACTAGATTACGCTTTAATTTAATCTAGATACTACATTCATTTTAGCTGCATCCAAATATGATTTAGTATACAATACCTCCAGCATAATAAACTTACAGTTTCAATAAGTGTATGCCAGCCACAGAGGGCTTTGAACTGACGGAGTTGTTCCCCCGAGTCCCCCACAAGTCTCCCTGCGATCTTCCTTTCTACAAACATTGTATTGCCTTCGTTCAGCCTAAACAATGTTTAAACATTCTAATTTAGCTTAAACATCATATATCTAAGCTTGATTGTAATGAAAATTTGTAGCTTATTTGAAACAGTTACATGTATGAGTCTGCAGACAACTTAACAACTAGGTCGCCACTCATACTGAAATCTTTTCTGAATAAAATATCATTTGCAGTTACAAATAGCGGTTATTGAATGAGTGTAGGTTTAATTCTAAATCTATAAACGAGGTGAACAAAATTATATTATGCTAGCCTCTGACAAACATTATTTTGTTTAATTCAACGCTTTGAATAAATTAAGTATTGAATCTACATGAATATAATATTTTATAAATCACATATCTAAAATTAAAATGGTAAACTCTTAAAATAGAGTCATTTTTCATTGACAGCCCTATAATGTAAAGCTAACATTAGCACGCTTATATGGTATGTTTGTATATAGCGCAATGACATCATTTCAAAGTGTTATTACACAAGTGTAATATCGTTTTTATTAAATGGCTTTATTTCACTCCTGCGCTGAGGTTTATGTGATAAAATATAAATCTCTGAATTTCTTAAAAATTCTAAATTCTTAATATTTGCTATAATCAAATAATGTTCAAGCACAAGTAAGCACAGCAGAAGAACCACTCACTTTCTATATGGATAGCCACTTCAAAAATAAAAATGAGCCATGTCATGACAAAACCAACATAGTGTGTTGGCGACCAGCATGCTGGTCGCAAACCCATTATGTTGGTTTTGTCATGACACGGCTCAAATATCTTATCTCCCTATAAGTATTTATACCCCAAGCAATACGGGAGAGAGAAATTGAAGCTAGTGACCTTTATCATTCTGCAACTCGTGCCATTTGTATAAATTACTTTAGCCTGACACATACTCACCAGAAATCGTCCCATGTTTTATTTGTAACCAAGTTACCAGTCCAACTGTGCGAGATCTCGTGAGCAACAACATCTGCCAGAGAACGATCTCCTGCCTGAAACAAAACAAGAGCAATAACTTGATTATTACCATTTGTTTGCTAGCACTATCTTTCTTAAAGGGACTTATCTGAGGTTTCTTTGATATAAAAGAACACAAATATATATTTGTGTTTCATTTAATGTTGGCCTTGATGCCAAACATGTGTGTGTAATATTTCAGACCATTTGCTCACACTTTTTTTTCCCAGTATTATTATTTTCATTGCTCAAAATGACCTTTAAAACGGATTTAACTTAAATCAGGTTAAGAATCACACAAAAATTTGATTTTTAATCATCTTTTTTTCCATTTTGAATTGCCCCAGTTGATCTAAGTTTGAATTTTAAATCTGATATTTTCAGGCTTTTGACCACTGGAGTTCCTTTAAGAGACTGTTATAGAAAAGTTCTACTCAGGCACCAGTTCGTGCCTGAAATAATGCACAGAAGAGCACCTGATATCTTCCTCCACCAGTAAAGCTGGAAAATGACATATGACCTATATAGTGTCAGTGTGACGTAAAACCCAATTAAACAAACATAGTTAACAAAAATAGAAAAGTTTCTGCTTACATATCAGATATAATTTGCTTCAAGGCATTGCTAAAATGCTAAACGGAAGTCTAAGTCCTATGGAATTAACAATCTAGTTATGTACCCTACCCATGTGTTTTGTATTTTCTGTTTGGTTTTAAGTAATAACAACACTTTTAAAGCCATATTGTGTCATTCAAGCTTCACTGGTAGGGGGTATCTTACCCTTTAGGTATCCCTCTAACTAACATCCTAATAGAACCATCTGTCTTCCGAGTGTTTGGACTTGAAACCAAATACATTGAGAGGCAAGAAATTCAACACCAAGGACCTTAAAGACTTGACCACAAAGGCCTTCCTCTTACAGCATAATCATAATCTGTTTTTTGATTATAATTAATAAACCACAAAAAGTGGACTGTATTAATCATTAAAGAAGACTTTTCTTAAAAACTTACCAATAATGTAGGCGTAACAAAGGTAAGACAGGGGTTCTCCATGCCACCATACGGGAAAGATGGTGGCAGCACTAAAAGGTCATAGTGACCCCAAACATAGGGTCCGAGAAGTTTTTCAGCAGTTTGCAACATCTGTTCAGTCTTAAAATAGAAATTGCCTGCAAATTACCACCTGAGCATTGCATAAATTAAAATACTAAACAAAGACTTTAAACAGGAAATGCACTATAAAAGGTTATCAAGTATAAACAGCTAAATATTTACCATCTGTGGATTGTAAAATTGTTTATATTGTGATTATAACGATTACAGAATAACTTAATCAGTAAAATGAAAGTAATTTGTCAGATTATTGAAAGCCAGAGGGGCAAGTGTGAAATTATAGCAAAACCTTCTATACTTTGTTCTGAAACATTTTATTTTGTTTATGTACAATATACATGTATTGTATATTAAATAACAAGCCTTTAAGAAAATACCATAAAGTTTACTGTTTTTATATTTTTTTTTCTTTATATACCTGAATCACCCTCATTTTTATATAAATATGAAGCAGACATCTACCTTTAAACAAACGACCTGTCTGAGGGACATTGTGCTTGACTATTCTCAATGCTTGATAATAAAACAAGAGTCATTATTTAATCATTTAGGAAACTTTTAACCATACAAAGGGATATAATTCAAAGGTAATAGGTCTTTTGTCACTTGTAGGCATAAGTGTTGAAATATACCTCGGCAAATTCAAATGCTGATTGTTCCACAAGTTCTGGTTCTGACCATACTTTACTCCTTGGTCCAAGATCTCTGCAAATAATATCATACAAGCTTGTTAAATATAACTTGCTCTCAGTTTGTTGAGGGGTTATTGCACTTTGACTAATTAACCTGTACTTAATGGTAACCTTTCAAATACATTCTATTTCAATTCTTTTAATTTGAAAAAAAATGGTTAAAAATTCTTGTATCATTCATATGCACCAGGGAATGGAAACCATGGCGAGAAAAGGGGGGCGGGAAATAGCTGGGCATGACATTCTATTCATTATCATATTATTTTAATACTGCATTAAGCAATGATTTTTCTTGTACATGTATTATGATATCAAAAGATAAGAAAGTCTCCTATATCTCTGTAGAGAGTGACAATGTGCTTTTTCAAATTATGTTTAAATATGTTTTTTATTTACGATATGTTGTATAATTATACTGCATCACACTGATGGGACTATTAAAGAATAAAATATTATAAGTAAGTTATAGTATGGTTTTCCAGTAGTATCTATAAAAGTATAGAATTCAAAAATTATTTGTGACACAACCATTTAAATTTAAAGTGACATCAACTTACTTTGAAACAATATCTCCACCTACTATGGCAATGAGATAGCTTGGCATGGGTGTTTTCTGTCGGAAACTGTAAACTGTTTTACCAGGATCCGAGGCGCTTGGTTTCGACCCCTCCAATAGCGCACTCATTAGAATTGTAATGACTTTAGGAGCAGTTATCTGTGAAATAAAGAAGCAAAACACTTTTGCTCAAAGGATAGATGATTTAAACAGGGCTTCCATTCCAAAATCTAGAGAAGTCAGATTGAAAATGTCTGACACAGGAAGTCACATTAATTAGGTTTAGAAGGTAAAGTAACAAGCCAAAATCAGGAGTGACTCCAAAACTTCCACTATGGCAGCCCTGTTTAAATAAATAGCACTTTTGTCTGTTGTTTTTCTTTTTCAAGTGACTTACATTCATTTGATGTGTATTTAAGCAATACTTTTTGTCGCAAAGTAGGTTTTATATTATCACAAACTGAATCATACTGAATGGTTTACATTATGAAAGTAGAAATTGTCATGCAAATAAATGTCTAAATCATGACAACTGTTTCTTTAAACCAACAGAATAAGGCAATACTATAATTTAAAAACTTCACTAATGGTACATGATCCCCCAATGACTCCAAAATCTACTGTGACAGTTATCATAATATACTGGCATGTGAGCAGTTCCCGTACAAAAATCGTAGTTACTTAAACATTATTTTTTATTACGCTCACTCACCAAAATTTCAATGTTACACATCAATATTCGGCTCGTCACACAAATCATGGAAATTCCATCATGTTCTAAACATAGAATAACCCTTAGTTATGAGGCCTCATATGGGGTACCGAAATTATCAATTATTTTGTATAAAGAGAAGTAGTTCCTGTACATAAAATTGAACCCATTATAATAATACAATTTTATTATATCGGACCTATTTTTCATTTATAATTGTTGAACAGACCACTTTCTAAGAGATAAATAGATGTAATTCAGGAAATAGAAAGTAGACTAAAGGCATGTATTTATTACCCGGTACCGTTATCCCCAACGCATTCACATGTGATGGCATGCTTGTATGCATGATATTTTACGCATCAAAGCCATAAAATTATTTTATATAGTAATATTGGTCAAAATTCTGATAATTAAACAAGTTTTCATCACATTGCCTACTTATCAGTAAACAGGTGGTATTAGTGGAAAACCCTTTAACATGCCTCACGTGTATGTATGTTTGCGCATGCGCGCAAGGACGGAATCCCCCAGATAAAACACGGTCACGTTTTGACAACGCACAGGTGAAAGTGATTTAAAATGAGACTTTTTATACGTACTGCCGAACTGACACTTAGATTTTGTCTCGTTTATGTATCTGCTTGATTTGAAATGAATTTTTGAAGAATGCATGTAAAAATCAAGCGTTTAAATGAAAAATACGGGTACTGCTTCTGTACGGGAACTGCTCGCATGCCAGTACAGGTTTTTTTTTTCTCTCCCCCTTTTTTAAAAATATACCTTTGGGTGTTCAATTAAATTTAACAGCCAGATGTTCAGATAAAATATTTGTCTTTTCATCAAATCCAAGGGCAACAACTTTAGCTGTATCAATCTAACCACCCCTTAAATCTAGCTTATCTGATATATTTTTTTTCCAAATACATAATAAATTGTAGAGAATAAAGATCAGTGCCACTGTTGTTATCAACTTTTTGGAAACAAGTCAGATTGACAATATTGACATATTTAAGAGTGCTAAAATTTGGTTTATTTTGAGAGCTGAAATTCAGTTTGCTTTTAGCCTCCTAGCGGCAACAAATTCTACACAAGCAACCAGTGCAGACCAAGACCAACACATCTGTGCCACCTCAATATGGTCTGCACCGATTGCTTTTCATATAGAACATAGTTTGACATTTTTCCTTAAATTGATAAATGGTTGTCATAGATTGAAAGATGGGCAGGTCTGCTACAGTAAGGGTTAATTGGAATAAAATTAATTAAAGCAACATTAAAATAGAGTATTTTTAATGATCAGTGAAAAAAACAAACAATTTTTATACTCAAATGAAACAAAGTTACCTACCTTTGCTGTGTATGTACATTTAACATAAGGTGTATCCTGGCAGGGAACCATACTTCTACAATGTATAGCCTGGAACCAGAACATTATCACATGTTGTTGAACATTAAACATTTGTTTTGAATTTCAAGACAGAAAATACTAAGAAAAACCTAAAAATCCTTTTACGTATAGCAAATTGTATAGCTTGAAACAGTACAGTGATTTTCCCCTTTATACATGTATTACCAAGGCCTATAAAATGCCTCTTCCCAATTGAATTTTTCTTTAAAATTATGTAGTCTTTCCAAAAATTTGAACTTACACCAGCTTTTTATTTCATAAATAAGCAAATGTAGTGAAAATTTTTCTTAAAATTAAGAGGCTTTGACTTTTTCCCAATTAAGAGAAAAACCACTTACAATATTAATTTTCGACATACATAAAATATAACTTGAAGAGTTGTCTTGAAAAGTGCCAAAAAAGTGCTAGAAATACGTAAGATAGAAATAGTGCATTTAAAAGAACCAGTTTATCTTTCTTCTCCATAGCAACATATTCAACAGACAACATACTAAGTGAAACACAAAAAACCTGAGCAATTAAAATGGAAACCTTACTGAATACAATCGTGTATATTTTTACTCAAGTATTTAATTACGCTCAATCCCTTGATAATGACCATGCCGTGATACTATAAAATGCTACAGCTCCATTCTTGTTAAATTTTAACTGATGACAAATTTTAAAGTGATAAAAAAAAATGATACCTGACATTGACTGAACAAATATGGCTGCCTCCCTCCGGCAGTCTGTTCTGGGCGTAACCATTGAAGAGCACTGCATTCTGGAGATGTTTCATACTTTATAGTAATATCACATCTGAAAATAATATTTGTGTTATAATGCTGCATAAAATAGGGGAACTGAGGTAGCAAAACATAACAAGAAAACAACACATACCTTCTGATAGGTGTTACTCTGGAAGCAAAAATGTATATATACAAAACAAGACCACTACAAACAGATAACTTTTTTTAAAGAAAATGGCAAGCATTTGGATATAAGATATAAAAAAAAAATTTACCTTTTTTTATTTATTTATTATTTTTTTTTGAGAAGCTAGGGAGTCATATTGCCACTTTCAAGCTTTACCTGAGGAGGACCACGGGGACCCTCTATACATTGAATAAAAGATGTAAATAGAAACACTATCCTTTTGAAAGTTAGCTATAAACTCTCTAAGTTACATGTAGGTAAGTCTTCAGCAAGTTTAGAACCAGTGCAGAGAAGGACAAGTGATTCAAAGCCACCCCCCTGCAATACCTTTTCAATTACTATTATACAAATTCAAAACAATGATTTAATGATTTTACTTTTTATCTGCAGATGTTGGAAGTTTTACTTCAAGTTTTGAACCAAAAGCTTCAAGTTTCTCCCCCAGTGAGAAGTTCAGCTGTTGACCGGTCTGCTTGTCTGTAACACTATGGACAGTTACATCACGTGTGTCCAGAATCTAATACAATATTGTACAGCATTAAAATAACATGAATTATAAAGAATATGTCTCATAACATAAATTATCATTAAAATAGCATATCTGAGGCATAATGGGCCTTTAAGTATGGTGACATGTCTGTTTCTATCATCCTCAGCAGATAATGTATACATAATTATGATGCTGCATGCAAAAGATTATATACATGTATATGCCTATAAGTGTGGTGTTTTTTCTCTATTTTTTTTTTTTAATTTTAACAGAACAGTTCAACCTCGGCAGAGTAACACCCTTTGGGAGACAAAGATTTTGGTTGTTGCCATAAGTTGTTGCTCTGGAGAGGTTAAATTTTTAGTGCAGTCTACTGTCTTACTTCAGGAAAATCTGTTCTTGTAAAGAGATTATTGCTCTACAGGAGGGTCTCTCAGTAAAGGAAACAAAGTATATCTTACCAGCTCTAAATTATTATAAATACAGCTTTTTTTTTTCAAAACCAATGAAAGTAGAACACATATAAATGATTGAATGATATGGTTAATTTGAAACATTTCAATACTTACAATAGCTTTAAAATAAAGATGCTGAAATTCCAAATCTGGACTGTGTTATTTTTATGCAGTGTTGGGTTTGAGTAAAAAGCAAATTTAGAATTAAAAACATTCATACTCTATGAATATTGATAACATTCTCACCACTGTATCGACACCATCAACAAGTTTGTTGAGAGAAAGATTGACTTCTCCTGCTAGAACATGTCTTTCAAAATCCACCTCAAGATCTAGATCAATATGTGTGACTACAACTTTATCCGGGTTGGAGAAAGACGTCGGGTCAGTAGCACTAAGGGCCGACATTTCTGAAACAGAAATTGAACCTATTCTATTCTATTTATAATGTACACATTAATCATGTTATGTTTTAACAAACAGTTGTTTTTATAAGGTTCTAGCTGTGATACACCCACAGTTGACAGGACTTCTGTCAGTGACTCAGTCAAACCAGTAGAGTGGATTTGCCAGTCACAAAGATAAAGAGCATGCTTAACTCAAAAGAAAAATTTGAGTTGACAAATGATTAGAGCATTACTTTAAAAATGTTACAATTAATGCAAATGTTTGTTTGTTTGATTGGGTTTTACGTCACACGCCACAGTATAGGTCATATGGCGATGTTGGAAGAACTCCCTTCTGCAGTTTTGAGCATTATTTCAAGCACCAATGGGCACCTGTTAGTTCTGGCTTCCAAAACTTTATAAGCCGCTTTTTAACATTTTTGTTTTTCATCTGATGCGGCATTCACGTCATGTCATAGTATATAAACGGGTATGCTGAAGACCTTAAGCTAGGCACCTGTCAGTAGAACCACCAATGTTCCGTAAGCTTCTTCACAAAAAAAAGACACATGAAAGATCCCGATTCGAACCCACAGCGGTGAGGTGCAAGTGGTTTGAAGTCAACGACCTTAACCACTCGGTCACAGATGCCCCTTTTTAATGCAAATGTGCATAACAGAACTGAGTACAAAATTGTTTATCAAATTAATGTGAAATTTGGATTAAAAATAATTTTTGTTATAATTATTCACTAATGACTTGTGTATCTACATTATTTTCAGATTACTCTTATTATCAGTATATTTTAAAAAAACCATAAATTTCATATGAAATCTTCAAATCTAGTTTTGAAATAACTTCCTTTTTACTTTTTACAAATCTTTGGGTTTATTTCCAGAAAACCGACCACGTTTTTCATTACCATTAAATCTTTTAATAACTGACAGCAACTGCAAAAATTATAAGTGAAGATTGTGTTAAAATATATAAGAATTTACAACAAACCTTCTAAATGTGACAGGAAAAATGTAATACTGTAGATAACCAAAACCGAAAATACAATGTTGCAATTTTTAGTCGACGCTAAAAATAAACTCTGTATTGACTGGGAACCAACGGCGGGCACCTGTCACTTCCTGTTGAAAGATCGTTTACATCACGTGATATGGATGTCAAGTGTTTCAGAGTTTGGAAGACCTAAATTTAGAAAAGAAGCATTTTTTGTGATAAAAAGATTCTTCAGGATAATGCCAGCGTGACAGTCGTAAGTAAAAGTTTGAAAAATGTAATTTTTTAGTTTATATTTCCACAATAACCTGCGGTAATTATGAAAAATATGATTTATCCTGATTTTTCAACTGCTTGTTTTTCAGTGTCTTGACAGCATGTACAATTTTGCCTTTCATTAACGTATCCAGTTGTATTGAATGTTTTCTTTCTTAAAATTCAAGACAAAATCTTGTGATTCAAACAAAAATGGTGTTGTAACTAGGACAGGGACAAATTTAGGGGGAAAAGAGTCAACTCGGCACGAGTCAACTCGGCACGGGTCAACTCGGCCCACTTTACAAAAATATATATAACGTATTAACTTTGCTTTGCATGTTGTTAAGGTAAATGAATAATAAGAAATATCTTATTATTATATAATTTATACATTGTACTTCTGCCGAAATTTAGAAAAAAAAATGTTATTTATTTGTCTTGCAGATTCGATAAAATTAATATAGATCTAATAAAAATGTGTTTCTTTAGATGCATTTTGTTTGTAAAGTAATATTCAAAAAATATGAAACAAAAACGTGTTTACCTAATATCATAAGCTTGTATATAAGCACTGTTTGCTCTTTGTTATATTTATAAACTCTCTCTGTCTCCACCAATGGACAGTCTCTTTATGAACTACGTAAATAACCGAGGTAAATCGAGTGAAAAAAAAACAAGAGTTGTTTCCCTTAGTTTCCCTTAGCTTGCATTTAGCCGTGGATAAATCGCTAGTGCGATTTAATGTCCGATTTTAAAATTTATTACACCAATTAAAAGCTGATGATCTTCAAGATGAGCTTCCTCTCAGTATATATATTTCAACACATTGTTTGACACTGAAAGTATTTAAATTTACGGTTAAATCTACCAGGAGTCAGAAATACAGTGAGATACTCAATCGGTTATCTTTACTCACAATTCTACTGATAAGAAAAGCCTGTCTGCTGCTAGTTCGAAAACTGTTAATCCGTGTATTATAAATAATTACAATAAATAGTGATAACACAAACCTAAATATTAATAATTGAAAAGTGGGCCGAGTTGACCCGTGCCGAGTTGGAATAGGGCTGAGCTGACTCGGGGGCCGAGTACGTTTTAGGCCCGAGCTGACCCGGATTCAATTTAGGGTACCCAATGATAGTTATCATTTTTGTGCCACCTGCACAGAGTATAGGACTAGTGACAGTCAAAGCAAAATTTTGAGTCAGAATCTCGTAGAGGGGAGATATTGTCCATACACAAAATAGCACAATATCTCATCCCATAGTTACTAGAACAATAGGTTGGATTATGTACAGAGTAGACAGACAGACATCTGTCTGTCGCAAAACTATGGCAAACTTTACAGGAATGATCAATACATTACATATAGTGCAGTTATGCATATCTTTGGATGATTTTCTTGTTAATTGTTTATGTCAGAGTTGTGACTCATTATTGATTTTTATTTTGAAAGTTTGTTCAGACTACTAATGCAATTTGAATAAACTTCACAAGATTAATTGATACCTCAAGTGCTTGCACATATAACAGGTTTTCCGGTTGAAAGGTGTTTTTTGGTGAGTTCTGGCCCTTGAATATAAAAGGTTTATTGGCCTGTTAATTTTTGTGTCGCCTGCTATACAGTTACCTCTACATGCTACAAAATAGTGCTTGATGACATAAAGGGATCACTTCTCTGTCCATCACAAAACTTGTCCGGACTACTCCTCAAAAAGTACTGGTTCAATTTCAATGATCTGTACTAAGGCCCCCATGGTTACACGTTTAAACAGATTCGTTTCGATTTTCATTCATAAACGTTTACGATATTTTAATCGTTTTATCGAAATGACCATATTGTCTTACAAAATTTCTTAATTATTGCCTGTAATCATGGATTTTATCAATTCTAGTGGTTTATTCGAAAGTAAAATATGGAAAATGGGTGTTTACAGCCCTCCACACAGCATTGCCCTGCATAAATTGCTTGTGACATAATACATTTTTGGTAAAAAATGGGGATACAATGCAGAAAATGTGTGCTGACTCAATCGTGATGGGCCCTGAACATTCTTTTTTTGTATGTGTATTAAAAAAAAAGAAAGTAAGTCATCATTTGGCGACTCAAATACATGGTGTATATAGTACATAAAGGTACCATTGTTTAAATGGTATCGTTTCGGTTCTAAGCAATCGTGTAAACGTCAACAAAAAGTTGTAAACGTGGTAATAAGCCTTAATCTGTACCAATTAACTACCAAGTGTAGTTTTGCATATCTTCAGCATTTTCCAGCTCAGTGATTTTTGTCAGAGTGGTAGCCCTTTAATGGAACTACACTGAGGTCCAAAGGCCTAAATTCACAAAACTTTAATTTCTTAAAAAGATCAGTTGGGGCACTTAAAACAGAAAGACATGCAAAAGCTAATTAAGAACTTTAATAATATAAAAAGAAATATCATATTGTTGTGCTATTCTTTGCCCAATTTGAGTGAAAGTGTTGCACTGCTCTTAAATATTGGGTCATTTGTCACAATTAGAAGTATCATTCTGGAAAATGGAGGGAGCAAAAGATCTGAAATTTTTCACAGAAGATATTGGTGACTAGACCTACAAAAATTATTTCCAGTCCTGTCAAACCTCAGTGGAGTCCCTTTCATGATTTTTATTTTTATGGTTTGTCTTGACTTCTCCTCTTATAATACTGATGCAAATTGAATGAAATGTTACAGGTTAATGGGTATCTCAAGTACTTGTGCATATTATTTAACTGTTGAATACTGTTTAACTCATATTTTCTGTTGAATGATTTTTAGATAAGTAATGGCCCTTGAATAAAAATACCTTTTGGTCTGTAAATGATTTTTGTGTCACTTGCTATATAGTACCTGCAACATACTACAAAGTATGCACAACATATAGGGAACAAACTGTCCAATCACCCCACTATACAATTGATTAGTTCTCATCACAAGTTAAACTGTTAATTTATTATTGTCATGTTTAGTCATAAAGATTTAAAATTTATCTAAATTAAAAAAAAATATAGTCAAATGTAAATTTTTTTAAAGAAAACCTGGATCAAGAGTTGTTAAAAAAAGTATTTTTCCCTTTTCAAGTGGATTGGTCTACAATGGGCACAGTCTGTGCCACAATTCCTATGACAGTAGTCAGATAGAGTTAACTGTAAAAGCCACCGGTTTAATATCCTGCATTTTATGTCTTTAAAATGTGGGCTAAATATACATCTCTCGCACATTGTATTTTGTATTGATCTAGAAAATCAACCTACTCCAGAAATGAAAAAAGCAACTACATTGTTTGAAAATTAACATCATTTGATATTCTATTTTAGTTTTACAACTGTTTATGCAACTTTCATCCCACAAGATAATCATGTTACTTGAGGTAGTATATATATTGATTTTATATCATTGATATTGATTATAATTATTTGCATTGATTTCCTATAATGTTTTTGTAGAAACTTATGTTTGATGTATCATATACCATACACATAATTGTGTGATATTATTTTTAAGTTATTAACTTATATTCACATAACATAATTATGTAAAGAATGAAAAAAAGATGCATGAACAAATATGAATTTGTCAAAAAGGACATTTTGTTGGTTCTTGATTTGTAGATAATGTGCCTTTGCAAAATAAAAAATACAATGTACATTAATGGAATGCGAAATTATACCCCTACACTGAGCAGATAATTTTTTTTTTTAAATGGATATTGAATTCATGGAAAAGCATGAAAATTAGTGCCTGGGAATAATTATAAAATTGCAGTACATTGACATTTTCAAATTTATACAAAATATAGGAAGACAATTGTGTCGTAGTTCTACAAATTTAGCAACGGTTATGGTTAAAAGGTATTCGGTACTAAAGTAGCTTAATCCAAATCTGGTCAAAAAGTCAATGTGTATTAGTTAGGTTTTTAAGTATGTCAAGCACCTTGAAAAGGATTTAGATTTAGTAGAAATTGATCTTGTTATAGTGTCTGTTTATTTAATCAGTAATCTTAATGAGATTTTAACCTTAAGTATTATTAATGATTAATACCATGATTAAGTGTTTATTACGTATGTATCACCATTGTGTTTTTTTTAAAATAGGAAAATATTCTATGATTAAAAAAAAAAATGTTTGTATGATACTCACTTTTAAATTGTTTACATAATAAACTTACATAAGATAAAGAATGATATAAGTTCATGCTGAAGAATGGGAAATAATTCAGATTGCTGATTGAATTTGTAGTGTAAAATCATTGTCTTGTAATAAATTAGATCCTCAAAAAAATGTACATACTTTAATATCTAGATGATATTTGTCCATATGTTTGAGTTTAATTATTAAAGAAGCTCCGCTGAGGAACATGAAAATTGAATTACTTAAAGATCAACTGAGGCACTTGAAACAGAAAATATGAAAATATATTGAAGAAATATATTGAAAATTGTATTTTTGTGCTATATTAGCCTAATTTGATTTAAAAGCTTTTTGTGTAATAGCCTGCACATATAAATTATGCAGTCTGACAATTAAAATTTACTCAATTTTGTATTGAAAACCCTTAATTTTCAAATGGATTGCTCCAGATTCATTGAGCAGAGCAAAGTCATTATACAAATTTAGGAAGGAAGGGGTCTGAGGCTTTAAAAACAAAAATTTCATGTGTAAATGGGCTGCCATTTTTAGCTCGACCTTTTGAAGAATAAGGAGAGCTATTGTACTCATCCCTGAGCATCCATGTTTGTTAAGAATTTGTGTGCAAGTTGGTATTTCCATAACAACTGAAAGGAATGGGTTTTAAAAATACACTTCACACACTTATTTGACAGTACAGTAAGAGATCTCTATCCAATGCCCATTATTCTAACAATTATGGCCC